GTGTCTGATTTGTTGTGCATACCCCAAGTTTCACCTCACATAAAAAATTACATGCTTTCAAAATCAGACATAAAAATACAAAAGTGTCACGGGCACTATTACTGAAAAATTGCTACTTTCTCATTTTTACCATTTAATTATCAAATAAATCAATTAGAATATAAATATTGCACTGACATTTCAGTGTGCTACCTGAGCCTGTTTTTCATTTCTGAGCCTTCTTTGAAGCCACAGACCCTCTGCCAGGGGCTGAAGCACATAACTTAGCTTCTCAGGGCCCAGGCAATTGCTCTGCTTGCTGCACCCTAATGCCAGCCGTACACTTGTGACCCTCCTACATTCATCCATCCTAGTCATCTAAGTCTCTGGAGGCTGCAACCACCCAGGTTCAGAAGCACTCATCTAGATGAGCTGAGTACCCCTAGAAGACAGCTAAGAACCCCCAGGATACACATTCCCTTGGTTGAGAACAACTGCTCTAAGCTATCCAGCAGCCCAGGGGAGCATCTGCAGCAAAGGGCCAAATCACTTTAGCCAGTGGGGCACACTGGCAAAACATTCCCTTGTCCCCCCGACAGACACTGGGGATGGATGTAGGCAGGGGAGGGAGTTAAAAATGGAAAACACTCCAAAACCCACAAGATAAAATTTGTTGGGAAAGAAAACGACATACACTTTTTGGCTCAAGCACTTTTTGGATCAAGCTATTGATTTGAGGGGAATCAGGCATGTTTTCTGAACATTTAGGGTTGGCAATTGATCTGAGAGGGCATTTCAACTGATGGGAAGGATGCTGTAGGGGACACAGGTGTAGCAAATGCATAAAGAAGCAGAGTAGAGAGGGGACTCAGCCAGAAAACTAGAGGAAAGTTTACTAATTCTGGACCCTTACACATTCAAGTGGTGGTGATAGGGCTCCGTGTCACCTAATGTTAAGAAAGTGCCAATGTGGCTGTGAGGCAGAACTGCATCAGATTTGCTCCTGTCTAGTGTGGACACAGTGACCCACTTGTGTAAAACTGGTTGAAGAGCAAACAGTGCAAATCTCACTTGTATACAAGGGCCCATCCTGATGCTTAAAGAACAATTCTGGGCTTTTGCTTTTGTCACAGGGTCTCTGGTATGTTGTATACATGCAGCCATTTGAACAATGACAGTCCTTTGAGGGGGCTTATGCAGTGCGGTTACAGCCCTAACATGTAACTCTGCCAATGGTTCTGATGCTAGGTGAGACACTGCCCACCCCCTGTCCTCTTTTTCTCTGTGGAGGCAGCATTTCTGTGTGGCCAGACTGTCTTCCTCACTGGTACCTAATTAATGCTTCAGGTGAGTCAGTGCCCGCTGACCAGTGAAACAGGGGCCACAAAGGATCCCACTAATGAAGAATGAAGAATGAGAGACTAATTAACCTTATGGTCTCTACCATCAATTCCCTCAGCAAATCTGGCCTGGCACCAGGACTGGCTTGGGCTTGTTATAGTCCCTCACTGCAAAACAATTGGTTAGATTCTATTTTTAAAAAACCCTTTGCATTACAAATAGTTGCCTATTTAGGCTCTGAGGCACAGCAAAACAGAAAGAAGCTGGTACCTCACATATTCAGAGATAAAATAACTCCTGCCATGGGCAGGAGGCATAAATTACATGTGATGGCATATAGATATTCACTCCTGAATCACAGGGGCAGAATACCCAGACCAGTACCCTCAACCCCCAATCTACCAGAGGAAGATGGCCTGGCTTGATCCCATGATCCCAGGTCACCACAGGGACATGATCTGGCCAAGGACTTGTCCCCTGGGGACTTGTCACAGGGGGAGCCAGTCTAGCTTGTCACCTCTCTGTCCTGCAGTGAGTCAGAGCATAGCTTGACAACCCTGCTTATGCAAGACAGGAGGGAGATTGCTTAGACAAGTGATCCCCTGCTTTCTCATGAGGGAGAAGGACCAACTCAGCATCCTTTGTCCCATGGCAGGAACTCAATCTGGACTGACACCCATAATCATGTAGTCTCATAAGGGGCTTCAGAAGTAGGTGGTCTGGCCTGCCACCCAATTCCTGCAAGGGGAGATGACTTGGCCTGACATTGGGGCTAGGACACAGATATGGGGACATAATTAGTTAAAACTAGATAAACTGATGTGGAGATGGGGGCAGACGCATAATTATTTGCTGGTCTGTTGGATGCCCAGAGTTAAAGCTTCAGCTTTAATTAGCATGCCCTGTCTCATGTGTGGGGGTGTGCCTGCACACGCACACACACACATACATACACAAAGTGGGCAGGGAGCATTCAAAAATTGAAAGACAAACAAAAATATAAATCTTGCTTTTTAAAATCTCGTGACTTCTTGGGGGTCGAAGGCACGAAGGTATTTAGGTGTCCAAATGCCAGAGATTCGTGGCCATTTTTGAAGGGGCAAATCAACAGCCTAGGTAAGCACTAAGGATAAGGCTCAATCCCTTTTGCCCCAGGGTGTTGTGTTCGATGTACTTAACTGCCAATGCTGAAACCAGTCAGGTGGGAAATACTCACGTGCTGTGACCTGAAAAAGCCACTGGAGGTCACTCTTTTTCCAGTCAAGAATTACTGAGGCTGGAGTGAGCTGCCTCTTACCTTCCCTTGGGGAACCACTCCCTGCATTGCCCCTGTACAAACCCGCGGAGATTATTATTTATTCCTTCAACCTGGATCCCCTCAAGTGTGCTAGGTGTATCACAGGCAATATACCAACACCCTGCCCCAGTGCAATGAAGGGATGGAAGCTACACAAGGGAGTTCTTACTCTCCTCCTGACCCCCAGTCCTTGTTAAGATTTCATCCAGCTTCTCCTCCTCCCTGTCCCTGCCCCTTTATATATAGTTGCCCAGCTAGGCCTTTCTACACACGCCCCTTAACAACAGTCTCTCAGCCAGGCCTCTCCACGCCTGCCCCTTCTATAGTCACTCAGCACACCCTCTCTGTGCCTGCCTTGTTAAAGTACAGTTGCTCAGCCCAGTCTCTGCTTCCCTCCATCTGCCCATTTAATGACACATTTGCTTTCTCCCTGACCCCCTTCTTACTCGAGTTGTTCTTTCCCAGCCTATGGGCAGTTTTAAACTCTTGTGTTTATAATTCCCGTGTGGTGCCTTACTGTGCCTCAGATGCCCTGGGACTCAGGGATCCAGCGAAGGCCCCTTCACTCTTGTGGGGACTGGGAGCTGCCACCAATGTGCTTTCACTTGGTGCTGTGCACACAGTCATTCCGTCACAGTCACTGGGATTCCACTGTTCTCCCAATACCCTGATTCACACCTGAATGCCACAGTTGCCTCCTCTCTTCCCTTTCATAGATTTAAGGCCAGAAGAAACAATTAAACCATCTAGTCTGCCTTCCTGAATGTCATGGACCAGAGAATTCCACTCACATCCAGGGCCTTGGCTGTCTGCGTTTCCTGGCAGCTCTTCCTTTGCAACATCTCTGAGCTCCACCATGAACACTCAAAGTTGCTCCATGTCTTGGACTTCTCTCTCATGTGACTCCTACGACCTTCTCCTCCTTCCCTAGATCTCATCTCACTGCCCCTCTCTTGTCATTTGAACAAACAGATGCCCTTCCAAATTTCCTTGCAGGGCATTTCTGATCTAGAACCAGCTTGGGATCATTTCCTCCTATTCCCCATTCTCCATGCAAGCCTCCATCCCCTTTTCCCAATCCCTGAAACAGCTTCTCTGGCCTTGCATCAAATGACCAGGCTCTACTCTTTTGTCTTTCTACAAATGCTAGAAGCTACATCACCTCTTGCACTGAAAACACCAAAAACCCAAACAAAACCATCTCAGATGCAACCAGCTTTTTTTTCTCTCATTCTGCATGGGAATCTGGGACTTCAAGGATAGGGTCCCCTCTTTATTGGACTAGTCTCTGCAGTCTCTCTGTCTGTTATCCTTTCACTGTTGACTAGATTTTGGTCTCATTATGGCCCATTGATGCTATCCACTGATGCAAGGGATTAGTAACTCCTGTCTGAGGGCATTTCCCTAGCACAAGAGCAGCACAGGGCCCTACCCTGATCTCAGCAGGGGTGTTTTGGGGTGTAGCTAGTGGCTAGAAGGGGGAGTGGCCAGGGTGGTTTGAGCTCTGACTATTCGGGGCTATGGAAGACTCCCTGGGCAGCTATACAATGCTGCTGTTAAGTTAGGGGCTGCTGCAAAACACTCCAGGAGCTGTGCCTGAAGCCACTTTTGCCTAGTCCTTGGGGTTGCATCTCCAGGGTGGTGCAGATTAGAATCTGGCTGTGTCTCTTCAGTCCAGCTTTAGACGAGAAGTCCCTTCGGATTAATATCTCATTTTTACAGACACCACTAAAACTCTGTGCACTCTGTGGTAAGGTATAGCTAGCATTGACAATAAAGAGGAAGTCACGGTCCCTGCACCAAAGAATGTATAAACTGTGTATGTATACCACCTTGGGAAACCAGCTGAAGGCGTGATCTCAGTCAGCAAAGAGTTTTCATAGACTCATAGGTCTGTGGGAGACTGTGTCTGACAGACTTTGGAAGAGCAATTTTAGCAGGATTCTGACTGAGCCATTTTGGAACATAAAGGAATAGAAATAATTCCAGGAACTGTGGGCAGCATGCCAGGGGAAAGCACAGAGTGAGATTGGGAGAAAAATCCAAGCGGAGCACATAGGCAAGAGACTTAGCAGAGGCCAGAGCAAGCTAGTGGGTAACCTGCTGCATTCAACCTCTAAGCAAGGGCAGGTTAGCAACAGGACAAAGGGAAACTGTTAAGTGACATAGGCCAGCCTAGATCGCTCTGGCTGAGAATACAAGCACCAGCCAGTTTGGGTTTCAGTGCAAGAGGCAGTCCTCAGAATTCAGATTAGCATGAAGGTTATTCCAGTCAAACATTCCTACAGCCCACCCCCTCTCCTCCCTTAAAAGGGATTGAATTTCCTTCACAGAGAGAGAGAGAGAGAGAGAGAGAGAGAGAGAGAGAGAGAGAGTGCGGGCCAGGAAGAGACAGGGCAACTTGTGAGCTCGCTGGTTGAGTGCAGATTTATAATCTGATGGACAGCGGGAGACCCAGCTAACACTCCACTCCCTCTCAGTCAAAGTCTCACTCTCCAGGGCAGAGTGAAAGCACTTAGCCTGGGGTTTATTCCTAGAAAAGAAGAGTGGATTTCTGAAGATTTCCTCCTTGTTGCAGAGTTGGGGATCTTGCTTGCAATTGCAACCCTGGATTATGGCCTGGCTGCTTCCCAGAATTTGTTGCCTAAAAATCTTCTGTCAGTCCTCTAAAGAACCCTTCTCTTCTGGACTATCTAGAGCTTGGAGTGGAGGGCCCCTGACTGCATATATGCCAGAAGCTGTAGCATTCCCTGGATCAAGGGACCACCCAGGGCTGTACAAAGCATCGGTGGAGCAGGTGGATGCATTCTGGGGCGCTCTAGGAAGAAACCGACTCATATGGATTAATCCTTTTCACTCTGTCCAAGACTGTAACCTACAGCAGGGCCGGGTGTCTTGGTTCCTGGGAGGACAACTGAATGTAGCAGGTAAGCAGGAAGCCAGATTCCCCTCTCTCTTGTCCCCCTGTTCTTTGTCCTCTTGGGGAATTTGCCTAGTCCCACCATCTTCAGGATGGAGCCTTTTCAGCCTTGTAAATCTATTCGCGGGAAGGCACTAGTGGGGAGGTTCTATAGCAGCAAGAGTCAGCTTTCTGTTTTTAGACACTTTCTTGGAAGTGCACTGGTCTGTCTTTCCCTGCACATGGAAATCTAAGCCAGGAGAGGAATACTCAGAGGAACAGACATCAAAGGGAGAGGAGGGCAAGGGAAGAAAGTGATGAGAGTGTGTCAGAGAGCGAGGGTGTGAGCATGAGATTGCATATGGCTGTTGAGCCCCACTTTCCCTGGTGTGTTTGCTCCCAGTCTTGTTCTCCTCACACACAAGCCTGGGGTGTGCTACAGTGCCAATCAAACCAACTGTTTCAGATCGCATAAGCTCAACTAGAGGACGCCTGCCAGGAACGTTCAGATTGGCTGTGCAAGGGGGTATATGGGAGGTGTGTACAAATGAGATTGGTTGGAGGGAAGTGAGTGAGTCTCATTAGCATGTAGAATAGTGATAGAAATATAGCCGTGTTAGTCTGGTCCTGTATTTTTCATTAGCATGTGAGAGTCTGGCTGGAATCCTTCCTGTCTTAGCATCTATCTATTTACTTTGATCTGCTTAGGTTCAAGTACCCATCCCTCGGATACTTAATGATGCCCTGTCTCACCCCTTCCCCTTCCTTTTTTTCTTTTTGCTTTTTCTCCTCCCTCTCCTTCCCCTCTCCTATTTATTTCAAGTTTTCATATCCCCTACTCATAACTCCGGTCATCTGAAGAAGTGGGCTGTGCCCACGAAAGCTCATGATATCATCTAAATATTTTGTTAGTCTGTAAAGTGCTACAGATGATTTGTTGTTTTTTTCTGTAACAGACTAACTTGGCTATCCCCTGAAGCACCATGTGCTGTGAGCCAAGCTGCTCTCACAAGCTGAGTGGCATTGGGTCTGGTCAGCACTAAAAATAATAAGATTTGGGGTTTTTTTTTATTTGCCTTCTGGGACCATGAGGGAGAGACATGTTTTTTTAAAATGAAAGTCTCACATATTGGAGATTTGGCGATCTGCTGCAAGCAACATATGTAGTGAGACTCCCAATAAAACAAGCGTCGGCAACACTGAAATGCTAGTGCTGTCAAAGGAACCTATTTGCAGCTAATACTTAACACCAAGGTCTTGAGTGCTTGTGGTCATGAAACATCCCACAGAGCTCTACGTACCCCCAGAGTTCTGACCCTACTCCATGTAAGGTGGTTGCATTCTGCTCCCCTATTTTCCTTCTTGCAGAGTTCCTTACTTCCTGTCCCAAACTGTCTCATGGAATGCTACTGTCACTATTTGATGGCTGCCCCATTCCACTACACAGGCAGCTGTGTTTCAGTTGTGGGTGAAGTGTTCTTTGTGGATTGCTTACTCACCACCCAGGGTGGCTGAAAAATGACAGTTAATATGTATGAGGCACAGAGGGCTCTTACAGTTACTTAGGGGGCATTTGCAGATTGCAAGTAAGGATGAGGATGGTCATGGATGTGGCTGGGATGAAGGAGTGGGAGTGGGAATGGGATGGGGGTGGTGCTTCTGACCTGATGGCTGGTGCTAGCAATGGGTTGCTGTTTAATGGGTTGAATAACAGTCAAAATCACAATGTAGCCACCCTGATTGTATTCAGGAACTAGTTGCTAGCACTGGCTTTACTAGAATTGAAAATAGCTGACCCTGTAATGACAGTCAATCTTCTCCTCCAGTGAATTGTCTGGACCGACATGTCCACACAGCTCCAAACAAAGTGGCCCTGATCTGGGAGAAAGATGAACCTGGGAAAGAAGTCCGGATTACATACAGGTCAGTACTTACTTCTGTACTTACCCCATCAAGGGCTTCTGAGCAGGAGAACCAAGCACAGAGGGCTGGTATCATAGAATCATAGAATACTAGGACTGGAAGGGACCTCGAGAGGTCATCGAGACCAGTCCCCTGCCCTCATGGCAGGACCCAGTACTGTCTAGACCATTCCTGATAGAGATTTATCTAACCTATTCTTAAATATCTCTAGAGATGGAGATTCTACAACCTCCCTAGGCAATTTATTCCAGTGTTTAACCACCCTGACAGTTAGGAACTTTTTCTTAATGTCCAACCTAAACCTCCCTTGCTGCAGTTTAAGCCCATTGCTTATTGTTCTATCCTCAGAGGCCAGGAAGAACAAGTTTTCTCCCTCCTCCAGGTTTTAGATACCTGAAAACCGCTATCATGTCCTCTCTCAATCTTCTCTTTTCCAAACTAAACAAGCCCAATTATTTCAGTCTTCCTTCATAGGTCATGTTCTCTAGACCTTTAATCATTCTTGTTGCTCTTCTCTGGACCGTCTCCAATTTCTCCACATCTTTCTTGAAATGTGGCACCCAGAACTGGACACAATACTGCAGCTGAGGCCTAATCAGCACAGAGGAGAGCGGAAGAATGACTTCTCGTGTCTTGCTCAGAACACACCTGTTAATGCATCCTAGAATCATGTTGCTGTTTTTTGCAACAGAGTCACACTGTTGACTCATGTTTAGCTTGTGGTCCACTATAACCCCTAGATCCCTTTCTGCCGTACTCCTTCCTAGACAGAAGCTTCCCATTCTGTATGTGTGAAACTGATTGTTCCATCCTAAGTGGAGTACTTTGCATTTTGTCTTTATTTAACTTCATCCTGTTTACCTCAGAGCATTTCTCCAATTTGTCCAGATCATTTTGAATTATGACTCTATCCTCCAAAGCAGTTGCAACCCCTACAAGCTTGGTATCATCTGCAAATTTAATAAGCGTAGTCTGTATGGTTACTTATTTAATGAAGGAACCAGAGTCATTCATCTCCAGCTCTGTGGGGCTCCCAGAAGGGGAGGGAAGGGAAGCCAGCCCTATCTGTCTCAGTTCAGAGGGGCTTCTGGGATAGGAGAGTTTCTAATTTCAAGCTGGTTTCTTTGGACAGAGAATTACTTGAGTTGACCTGCCGCCTGGGAAACACCTTGAAACGACAGGGAGTGAAAAGAGGTGACCGGGTCACCATCTACATGCCCCCGTGCCCTATGGCTGTGGCAAGCATGCTAGCCTGTGCCCGAATAGGAGCCATACACACTGTGGTATTTGCTGGATTCAGCGCTGAGGCTCTAGCTGACAGAATCCGAGATGGTAAGAGCCTTCTTCACAACTGATAGGTGCGCTGTGCAAGCATTGTCCCTTCATCCCGCCCCTTTGGAGAACAGTATCATCCCCGGTCAGCTTCAGTGACCAGTGGGGCTGAGAATGTGGTGATTGTGCCTGAAGTTTCCTAGCAAACTCTTCCTGCCCCAGTGTTCTTACTCCTCCAGCCAAGGAGAAGAGAGTGGGCTCAGGAAATGGAGGAAACGTGCAGGCTCTAGGTCACATGCTTAGGTCACCCAAGAACATCACCACAACTTCCCACAAACTGTAGCTTCCAAAGCCCTGGAAAATAAAAGCTGCAGCTGGCCAGTCAGCTGAGTGAGGTGAACAGGGTTCACTCATTTGCACTGGTTACCAAGAGCAGGCCTGGAAGGAAGGGGCGTAAGATGCAACAGGGGAAGTTCGGGTTCAGAGAAGTTCGGGTTCTAACGTTCACATGCTGCCAAGGGCTGATGCTGGAATCCTGCTCATCAGCGCGGTTCTTTAAGAAGAAACAAACCCTATCGGCCATGGTTAAGGAATCCTGCTACGATGATGCAGGGCAGGGAGGACTAAATATCCCAGTAGAGGGCCTGCCCTGTGGCAAGGCTATTCACTAGCTCTCACTAGAAGCCTCTTCCAGTCCAATGGAGGCTCGGCCTGGCATCATCAAACTCAGTATTTTAAAAATAAGCTTCTAGAGCAGCAGGGTCTGTCAGATGTGGGGCTTGAGTTCTCTGCCCCATCAAAGAGAGAAAAGGCCTGCAGTGCTGCCTCTCATCAGGTTGTACGTGAATTAATGGGTGAATTTCCACCGCAATGGGAAAGAAAGAATTTAAAACTGCTGCACTTATTTTAAAGAGAGGCCTTGAAAGCAAGAGACGGGAGGAGCAAGGAGAGGGAAAAGGCACGTGCTGCAGGGAAGAGTTACATGTGTGTGTAGAACCAGGGGGGCTAGGTTTCATGGTAATGATGGTGGATGGCAAGAGGAGAGAGGGGCAGCTGGCTGTTCATTTTCTTCTCTTTTGTCTTCTTCAGCCCAGTCAGAAACTGTGATCACTGTGAACCAGGGCCTGAGAGGGGGGAAGGTTACTGAGCTGAAGCAGACAGTGGACCAGGCTGTGCGTGTGTGCCCGCTAGTGAAGCGAGTTCTGGTTTCCAAGCGGACTGATCAGAAAGTTCCCATGTCAGAACTGGATGTGCCACTGGAGGAGGTGAGATGTTATGTGGAGCCACCACCAGCTTCCCCCCAGAGCAGCCCAAAGGACTCTGTTTGCATTTAGATGCACAGGGAACATTATTCTGGGAGTAACAGTGTCATGGTCTGACCCAGGCCAGGAACCTTCCCAACAGCAGCTGCCCTGCTCTCCAGAATGAATGAATGAGTTAAAGACGGGAGCTCTTGAACACACTGTATTCTCTGTGTAGCATCAGGGAGTGACAGTACTAACTAGAGCCTACAATAGTCTGGCAAGACCTTGCAAACTATCTGCCCATGTGCCTCAGACCTGCTCTGGAGTACTCCCTCCTATTCCCGCCCTAGGCTCCCCACACAACTTTGTACACCTCATTCCTGGCCTGCAGTACCCCTGTCATTTCAATCTGGATGGGGCCCACAGCTAGGGTTGCCAGTCATTTGGGTTTTGACCAGAACATCCAGATGAAAACAGAGCCTGGTGGCTGCTGACCAGGCCAGTACAAGTCCAGTTGGTGGCATAGCAGGGGTCTGGGGCTTCCTACCTACCCTGGCTCCATGCAGCTTCCAGAAGTGACCACTAGATCCATGCGCCTCCCCCCTCCCCAGGCACAGGAAGGCTTTGCACGTTGCCCCCAGTCATAGTGCCAGCACCGAAGCACTCAGTGGCCAGAAACTGTGACCAGAGGGGGCAGTGGGGGCGGTGCCTGTGAGCATAAAGCTAGCATGTGCCTAGGGTTACAGAGACCTGGCGGCCTTTTCCTGGAAGCCACCAGGACTAGGGATGTACATGGGTTAACCATTACAGGTGATGCTTACCGGGTAACTGTTACCCAGGAGCAACCCCTCACCTGTGGCCCATCACAGGCAGAGGGGCTGCTGGCTCCCAGACCACATAGGCTCTAAAGCTCTGATTACAGCTTTGTACACCTGCTGGCTCCGCAGAGCCCACAGCCCTGGGAGAGGGACCTGGGACAGCACATCAGCAGAGAATTTAAATATGCCCCAACTGCAGAATCTTATTACTAGTGATGATGACTGAACCAGAAAGTGCTTGACTCTCAGAACCGAGGGAGAGCTTGTGGTGCCAGCATGGGAAAGAGAAACCATCAGTTTACTTGAACACAGAACACTGGATCTGGCAACAGAGAAGCAATAAAAACTGGTGCCATTTTGATGGTCACTTGTAATTCCGCATTTTAAGAAGCCAGCTGACTGAAGAGAGGTGTGAGTCTGGGAGTGGGAAGAAATTCAAAGCCTAAGGACAGCCTAGAGGAAGATGCAAAGATAAGACCTGGAGACTAAGGAAATAGAGGAGCATGGGTGGAAATGAGAGCTGAGGTGTTGATGCACAGCTTTCTGTAGGATCTTGGGGCCGAGGAAAATAAATGTAAACCGGATGTAGCTGGTGAAAGAAAGTCATTGCAGGTGTGAAGAGAAGTGGGTGGCATAGCCACAGTGGCAGCAACGATACAGGTATGTACTGGTGAGAATCAGGGGGGAAGTGGTGAAGCCAAAGAGGCAGAGGCTGTAGCAGCCAAAAGAGAATTGGCCAAGGCTTTAGCCATGAGGAAGCAGAGAAAGGGATGGACTTGAGACATGTAGAATTCAAGAGCCTAAAGGTGTGGAGAGTGATTAGGATCTGGTTTGCTAGAGAGTTGTCCTGGCCTCCACAATGCTGTTCAGGCAGTGTTGGCTCATCATTGGGCAGCGGAGGAATAATCCCCTGGTTTTAGTACATGACTAGTGAAATGTGAGGTCAGAGAGTGGGAAGAACGGAGGAAAATCCGGGGGCTGTGAGGAGATCCTGGAGCTCCATGGAGTGCCCAGTGTGAGAATTTCTCTGATTTGTGTCACAGGAAATGATGAAAGAGGATGTATATTGTGAGCCAGCAGTCATGGAGAGTGAAGACTTGCTGTTCCTTCTCTACACATCTGGCAGTACTGGCAAACCCAAGGGGCTGGTCCATTCACAGGCTGGATACCTGCTGTACACAGCCATCACCCACAAGGTAAAAAGACCTAGACACAGAACTTTCTGGTAAAGACATAGAAGCAGCAGAACTGCCAACCTCCTGATGCCAAGACTACATCTCTACCACCTAAGCTAAAGCACAATCTGTTATTAGGGGGGTCCAGCTGCTGGTGGGCAAGATGGTTACCAGGAATGGAGCAGGACAGTCCAGGCAACAGAGGGCCCAGTGTATGTGCTAGAACAGTCAGTTATTCATTACTTAGGCTATGTCTACACTACAGAGTTTTTCTAGGGAACGTGTCTGCTTTTTCGGAACAGTTTCTGAAAAAGTGGGCACGGTCTTTTGGAAGCCCTGTGTTCCTCTTTTTATAAGGACTAAGGGCTCTTCTGAAAAAGGAGGTTTTTTTTCCCACATTTCGCCCTGTGTAGATGGGCCAAGTGTCAGAAAAGTCTCTTTTAAAAAAAAAGCGGAAAAAGGTACCCAAATTGCAGGTCGTGTATCTTTTTCCAGAAAAAGATTTCAGTGTAGACATAGCCTTACAGTAACAACCAGAAGTCCCAGGTAGACCTGGGTGCCATGTTGTGCTGGGCGCTGCTCTAGCATTCAGGAAGAGATGGTCTGTCAAGGCTGTTCCCCACTCTGGTACTTTTAGTGCAGAGAGTGGGGACCTGTAAGAGATCTTAAAAATATCCTGCCATTATAGGCTTCTGCTTAAAAACTCCCCAAGGTCACAGATGCCCTGATCTTGGTTGATACACTGCCACCATCCAAATGCAATAATAATACACAATAATAAATAATAATAATAATTTTGAGGGGAACCCAGGAAGACGCACTTGGGAATTTCTTCCTGTGGGGTAATCCCAAGCTCTTTAATCCTTCTTCAGGCTGGAGCTTGAAAACAAACTGTAATTTCTTAATAGCAGACCTTCAGTCTCAGGTATGTACACTCAGAACCTCCTGCTTTCAAGGACACAGGAATCAGATCATAGTCTTAAAAAGGTGATTTTATTAACAAAACAAAGACAATGTATTTGGTAAAGCCAATCAGTTCAGGGAGAGAGTTCCACCCTCAGAGAAAAGCATTGCTCAGACTACCCGTCACTTTAGCCCAGTTGATGGAGAAAAAGGAAATGGCAGCTATTGTCCAGAAATACTCCCAGCCTTTTCCTTCTGTGCATAAGCTCTGTTGCTGTTTAGCCAGCAATTTAGCCCTTCTCCTCAAGAGAGCCCAAAGAGCACTAACAGCAGAGAAGGATCCAAAACTCAGTGGAGCAGAGGTAGCTTTGGGAAGAGGAAGCCCCTAGAGCACTAACAGCAGAGTAGGATCCATAACTCAGTGAAGCAGAGGTAGCTTTGGGAAGAGGAAGCCCCTAAAACAGACAGCTATGTCCTGAATTTAAGTCCTGTCATTAGAGTGTCTGTAGGTGAGCCCTCTGAAGGTGCATCTTCAGTTGGGGAACTTCCCTACCCCTCACCCCACAGCAGCGAGTCTCAGAGGAGTACAGAGTCAGGCTTATGCTATGCCACTAAAACTATCTATGTAGAGATTCCCATGCAGGCTCTGAGGCCCACCCTTTTCCCTGGACTTCAGAGCCTAAGTGAGAATGTCTGTCCAGCTATTTCTAGTGCTGTAGCGTGAGCACCGTGTACCTGCAGAGCGAGGAGCTGAGATTCACTGCTGTGGGGTTGGGTTTTTGTTGTATAGATGTGAAAGAGCAGGAGCCAGAGCTGCTGGGAGCTTACATGGTGAGCCACTCTTGTGTTCCTAGACAGCGCAGGACTGGACTGCAGAAGAGTCCCCCATAGGAATTGGGGAAAGGCCCATTGCTTGGGACAGCTCACTAAACAAAGTGCTTCCAAACGCCACCCTTCTGGCTTCTCATGAGACAAGCCCCTTTCTAAACACCTCATCTTGTGCTTTTTAGCCAGGGGCAAGCTCTCCACCTGTACTTGTTCCAGGGCCCTTTACACTGCCACCCGGCCCTTGTGCCAGAGGGCTCTAGTCCTGGCTTTGGTGCCTCCAGTGTTCCTGTGAAGCCAGAGCTGGTAATTTAATTCTGAAATACCCTGTGTGCTTGGGGAGGAACATGTGGAAATAAAGGAGTCTGTGATTTCACACAGAGCAAAGCAATGTGTTTAACCCTCACTGGACCCCAGGGTTAGTGCAGTTGTCCTGTTGGCCACTGGACTCTGTGTAGCTATTGACTGGCAATACTGGAGCAGCTCACGAGGATGGAAAGCGAAAGCAGGGGATGTTGTCCCAGGACTGGAATGTGGGAAGCAGGCATCTTTGTCTGATTCCAGCACATGGCCACGTAAGCTCCAGCAGCTCTGGAAAGCCTGGCCAGAGCTGGAATGAATTCCTACTAGTTTTTCCCAGATGGGTTCGGCAAGCTGCTGCTGTTTTAATACTGTTACTTTAAACAGACATTAGCACAGAGGACAGCAAGTTTCCATTACAAACACTCCAATACTTCTCTCACCCCTGGAATCCTCATCTGTCAGCCTCCTGTCAGTGGGGCCCACTTTGCGGGGAGCTGCTGGAGCACTGCTACAGCAAATCTAATGACAGCTAAGGGACAAGAGGCTTTTAAAATATTGTTGAAAATGGAAGGTCTCATAGCAATGGCTAAGAAACAAAGGGCTTCCAAGAGACGTTTTACTAGGAAACTTGCTTGGTGTTAAACACACGGGAAATGGATTAAGAGGAGCCAGGCCCAAGTAAAATAGATGTTTCACTCTGCTCTCCAGTTACTCTAGGATAGTTTGTCCTCCCTCCTACTCCAGCATGGCATTCAATGATATGGGAGGATGGGAAAAATAGCACCGTCTGAACTCTGGCTATGTCTAGACTGCAGAGTTATATCTGAAAAAGATATGCAAACTGCAATTTGTGTATCTTTTTCCACTTTTTTTTTTAAGAGGATTTTCCAAAATTTGGCCTATCTACACAGGGCCACATTTTGGAAAAACAACCTCTTTTGGCACATCCCTTATTCTTCATACAATGAGGAATACGGGGATTCCGAAAGAACGCGTCCGCTTTTTCGGAAACTGTTCTGAAAAAGTGGACACATTCCTTGGATGTGGCAGAGCTTTTTTGGGATACAGCTACAACTCTTGCTTTTTTTTTTTTTGCAGTACGTGTTTGATTACCACGATGGGGACATCTTTGGCTGTGTGGCAGATATTGGTTGGATCACAGGGCACAGTTACGTGGTATATGGTCCTCTGTGCAATGGAGGTACCACAGTCCTTTTTGAGAGTACTCCAGTGTACCCTAATCCTGGTAAGTAATATGGAGGTTCAGAAGAGAAGGGATGGGCAAGCGGAAGAAGCGGTCAGGATGGGAGAATCAAGGATTCTTCAAAAATGCTCAGCAGCCATTCTGCCAGAACTGTAACAAGTGATTGTGAAAGTATGAATGTAACCCTGCTCTGAAATCTCTGGTATGCAGGGAAGCAACTTTGGACTCCTTCCATCATGGCATGAGCTGAGTGCCTTAGTGGAGCTGAAGAACAGACTGAATTCCTCAGGGGAGGTGGTAGGGAAACATCTTATTCATAGGTGGAGCAGTAAGAAGAGCAAGTCTCTCCTGTACTCCATGTTTGAGGAGTCCCCTCCACGAGCCAGGGTCCTGAGGGGGATGCTAGCTATGCTCTTCCCTGCAGCAGAGAGCTGTGGAGATGGCTCTCAAGGAAGGAAAGGGCCATTGCTTCCCATGGGGTTTACCATGAGCTAGTTTGGTCTGGCTGAGATTGCCATGGCACTGTTATAGCAGGGGCATGAAAGCAAGGTGACTACTGAAATCAGGCTGGATTAGGGATGTAAAACCCTGTTTAATTGGCTAGCTGGTAAAGTTAAACATATTGTTTAACTGGTTAACCAATTAAAGGGAGAGTGAGCAGAGGGGGTGGAACACCAGCTCCCTGAAGGCAGGGGCTGCTCCAGCCTGACCACAGCAGCCCCTGCCTGGAGCTGTCTGTCTGCAGCAGGCCCTCCTGTAGGGGTTGGGGCAGCCACCTGCCGGTGGCAGGCAGGGAACTGCTCCAGCCCCACTGGTTAACCTTAACAAGGGCTTAGGATGGATGAGCTAATTCTAGAGGTAACTGGCCCAACTTCCCATTCTAGGGCGCTACTGGGAAACAGTGGAGAGATTACGAATTAATCAGTTCTATGGAGCACCCACAGCAATTCGCCTGCTGCTGAGATACGGGGATGAGTGGGTAAAGAGATACGACCGATCTTCCCTCAAGATCCTTGGATCAGGTTGGTACCAGCTGATGGTTATGGGCTGACCACACCATCACTCATTCCATTTAATAGTGGGCTGGATTAGAGGTGTTTGTTGGTTCAATACCTCACAGTGAGAGAATACACCACCAAGGAGACAGTCTAGTGGTTGGCTCGGATCCATAACCTTGATGAAGTCAAGATACTGGAAGGCAGAAAAGGCGAGATTTTTCTGAATTGGCCCTTAAAGCACAATTTATCTACCTATCCCCTTGCAGTGGGAGAGCCCATCAACACAGAAGCATGGGAGTGGTACTTCAACGTGGTTGGTGATGCACGGTGCCCAGTAGTTGACACATGGTGGCAAACTGGTAAGAAGCAAAGACGACCCCTCGCCTCCCATTCCAGGCCCCCAAGCAGTTCCCAGGCATCTCCCCATCTTAGGAGGCATAATGCCCATCTGGGGTAATTATTATTTAGACATTACCAGGGAGTCTCTTGGACCCACCACAGGACAGGATTTAAAATTAGCCTGGAGAATAGGCTGTTGTGAGCAGCCCAGCACTGGCCTAGATGAGCAAGACTTTTCATCCCCCGTTAATCTTTTCCAGCCACTTCCAGACAGCAGAGAGCCTTGCCTACAGGTACCCCTGCCTGGGCATAGAAGCAGCAGCATCCCCTCACCACCACAGCACCAGTAACCAAGCAAGGCTTAGGGGGAAGATGGATTTCATAGCAGTGGTCCATGGCTTTCACTTTGGTTTCATTTCATAGGTGTCACCATTTCATTTGTCTCAGAAACAGGAGGCATCTGTATCTCTCCCCGTCCCTCCAGCCCCGGAGACGAGATTCTTGCAGGCATGGCCATGAGACCGCTCTTTGGGATCAGCCCCGCCCTCCTGGATGACAAGGTAATTTACAAACATGATTCCAGAGGTTCTCTTAGCCCATGTTCCCATGCTGTCCCCTCCAGTAGTAGAGGAGCTGGAAGGAGAGGACCTGGAAGTTGCATCCCACCTCTGCCCCCAAGATCTTGCCCAACTCCCTACGGATCCTCCTGTTTTGAGGAACTGTGACAAGGGAGCTGGTAGTAACCTCGTGCCATCTCAGCCTGTGCTCCTGCACTGTTCACTACAGCGCTCTGTCCTGAGGGGAGCTCAGAGGCACGCCTCAGAAATGCTACAAAGGGTTTTTCTGGGACAGGGCTCCAGCTCCTCAGTAACTGAATGGAAGCCATGCTAGACTTACAGCCAAAGCTGTGGCTACATGCCAGTGCTCAGGGAGCCTGCAATGCACTAAGGGAAGCAGATCTGGAGAAGGACACAGATCAGGCTGGGCCTTGGTGAGAATTGGCTTCTCTCAGATGCAGTGGACCAATCCCAGATGTTAAGCAGCAGAATAAGCTATATCAGCTGATGTGTGAACTGGATCCTGCCCCATGGCTCTCCATGTCTTTTCTAGTCAGAAGGATGTGGCCAATAGAACTAGACCAAGTCTGGAGGGTAACCTCAGTCCCAGCCATGACAAAGGGTATTATTTTCCAGGGAAATGTCCTAACAGAGAACAATGTCTCTGGAGCCCTCTGCATCTCTCAAGCCTGGCCAGGAATGGCACGGACCATTTACAATGACCACAAGAGATTTCTGGAGACCTACTTGATGCCTTACCCAGGTATGATCTGCAGGGAAGGACAAAGGAAGATAAACAACTGATCACTGATTGGAGACTGCGTACTTCCAGAGCCACATGTATGGTTAATGGAACACGGGAAATCTGGATTAAATTCCTGGCTCTAACACAAACTCACAGGAACACTTTGGATAAATTACTTCAGTTCTCTGCACCTCACAGTTCCCCATTTATAAAACAGCACTTTATAAAGATAGCACTTCCTTCTTTCCTTCCTTCTCCTGTCTCATCTGTTTGGAGCATAAGCTCCTTGGCTCAGGGTCAGGAGCTTACTATGTATATACAGCATCCAGCACTGACACACACAACCTAGGCTAGTGAGTGGGCTGCATGAGCGGCCCCCTCAACTCAGCAAGCTGCAAGATGGTTTCCTGTGATAGAGTAGTTTTGCTTGCGTACCTAGAATTTGTGGGGTGTGACAATTGAACATGGCAGCACTTTGAGTGAGTGCAGAGGGAGTACATGGCTTTCACTGTTGTGAGCAATCAGCACACACCTCTCTTCACTAACGATGTTAAAATGCGGTTGACTAGAGTAGTTGATGGAATTTCCATTGGCTACTCAACAGGCACTTCAGCATTCCTCCTTTGAAATGTACAAGAGCCCCAGCAGGAGCTGACCCTGGGCTCGAGGTGACGCTGCCGCTTTGAAACATCACCTCGGCGTTTCAAAGGGGCAGCGCCACACAGCTGAGCTAGGGATCAGATGTGCAGCGCTGCCCCGGGATCAGCTATGAGCGCTGCCCCTTTGAAATGCCAAGGTGACATTCAAAAGGACAGCGCTACCCTTTGAAGTATTCCCTCTCCCCCCTGGCCCCTTTGCTGCCTCTGATAGAGGTAGTGGGGTGGGTGGTGGGGAAATCGACATCGGATAGTCAACTGGTCAACTAGTCTTTAACAGCCTTACTCTTCACATGCCTTTGCTTTGTGTGGGTGTCACTTGTCAGGGGAAAAAAAGACATGAACAAAAACTTACAGAATCTGGCAACCCTGTGCATTGACAACTGTAAAAAACAAAAACAAAAACCCAACCAACTCATGGGCCACATGTAGAACCCCAATGAGCTGCATGAGGCCTTCTGGCCACAGGTTGCTCACCACAGATCTAGCACAATGGGGCCCTGATCACAGCAGGGACCACCAATTACTTCTGTAATAGACATAATAATGTCAGTGCCTGTAGTCACGAGAGAAGGGAAGAGAAATGTCTCCTTAGCCTGGAGGGTTATACTGTGGCAGCTCTCCTAGGCTTGTGGGAATGGGACTGCTCCAGCAAGGGAGAAAAGCACCCCAGAATTGAGGGACAGGGAATGCCTCTGGTCTGTAGGGCTAGGAACTAATGGGAAGCCATGAGGCTTACTGGGGTCCTGGAAGTCCCTTTGAGGTGAGTTTGGGGAGAGGGGCACAGCATACTAGGGGGTGGTTTGATGTGGGAAGGAATGTACCTAGGCCATGGAGGTACTGGGAAGAGTGTGCAGCTCTCCTGATTCTGATCACCACAGGATTTTTCTTCACCGGAGATGGAGCCTATCGTACTAGCCAAGGATATTACCAGCTCACAGGGCGTCTGGACGATGTCATCAATGTCAGCGGGCACAGGCTGGGCACTGCTGAGCTGGAAGACATTGTGGTAAGAGGCTTGGGAAGAAGGAAGTGACAAACATTTGACCCTGAGCTTATGCACAAGTACAAAAAGCTGAGATGGGGAGAGCCTCTTCAGGAGCCAAGGAGGCACCCAGGGGTCTCTGAGCAAAGCAGCCATGAAACAGTGAGTGAACATAGCACCTTGCAGTCATGCCAGAGTTTTCCACTCCAGCAAGAGGCCCTGTAGAGAATGGGACAGGAGCTCTGTCTGGAGCAGATAGGGAAGAAGGGGCAGTTCACAACACTACAGCTCCCACACTGATTTCCAACCAACTCTATGCTGCCCAGGTGGGATAGTGATCACAACATGCAGCCATGATTGCTGAAGCCTCTCACAAGGACTCCCCAGCACGAATTTCCATCAAGCTGGAGACAGCTAGGAGCATGTCAGATGCCTTGCTGCTCCCCAGCTCCATATCTGAGACCTTACCTTCTATCTAAGGGTGTGTCTAAACTACATCCCTCTGTCGAAAGAGGGATGTAGCCTAAACATACCCTAAGAGCTGCACTATGCCAAGTTCCACTTTTCCTCAGCAGTATCAGACTAGATGGCAACGTATTAAGCTCCAGTATCTCAATTAAGCTGTTCTAACCTCCTTCCTTGCTGGCTCTAACCTTGCACACAAGGGAGCAATAAAGATTAATTTGGGGCTCAGGCTATTGCTACATGATCCCTAAAGATTCAGCGCATCCTGCAAATGTAGGGGATCATCTGAACCTTGGAGGCCCCCATGGTTATGAGATTAGAGTGCTCTGTGGGGCAGACGTGCCCCGGGCTTGTGAATAGGGACTACCCACTGAGGTCTTGTGGGAGTAAGCCCAGAGCTGAAAGGGGAAGCAGGGCATCAGACCTCTTACCTGCCACAGTAGTGTATGGGGAAGTAGGAAAAGGGCACAGAGGCCACCTTGGGAGCTCCCCATCTCTTTCTGCCTTGCAGCTGACTGCACCAGGCTAGTGCGTGGCAGGACAGGCTCCAGCCAGCTTGCCAGGACTGCTGATGTGACATACAGACCTGTTTTGTTCCAGAATCGGCACGGAGCAGTGGCAGAGTCAGCTGTGATTGGATTCCCTCATGAGATCAAAGGAGAAGGTGAGGGCCTCTGATTCCGCTATCTCAATAAGGTACCTCTCAGATGCTAGGGCTAGTGTGTGTGTGTGTGGGGCGGGGGGTGGCTGCATAGTTGACTTGTACAGGGGAGTGAGGTTGCAGGAACCACACACAGCATGTATGGGACACACCAGAATGGGGTAGTAGTCACCGCAAGAGCCACATGGCTTTGGGCTGCAAGCCTCTGGTAACCTTACACCATGGGGAGGGGGGGGGGAAGGGTTACAGCTTCAGGAAGCAGTACAATGGCTTTGATGAGGGAAGAGTGTTGATGAGAGATTCACTCAGGTCACAGACACCATTTCAGCCTCCACAGTACTTCAGGCAACATCTCAGCCAGCTGCACTGCTTAGCCCTGCGCAGCTCCCGTTACCATGGCTTGTGGCATGGATGAGTAACTCCATCTTTTCCCAGGAGCTTACGTGTTCATTGTGCTGAAGAAGGGCACGGGCATCTCTCAGGAAAGGTTGAGCAATGAACTCAAGGAGCTGGTCTCAAAAAAGATTGCAAAATACGCAGCCCCTGAATACATTCAGGTAAGAGCCCACAGGCCTGTCCCTGCCCGCACTGTATGCCCCCAACCCTGTCCCAACAGCACAGCAGATGCCCCTTTCGCATGTTCCCAGCCCCAGATAGTACTGCTTAATGCTCCAGCCCTTACTCTGCTCCTTTCTGCCGCAGGTCACAAAGCGGCTACCCAAGACCCGGTCAGGTAAGATCATGCGCCGTGTCCTGAAGAAGATTGTAGAGGACAAGGCAGATGAACTTGGAGACCTGACAACCTTAGATGACCATGAGACCGTGGAGGAGATCATCAAGGGGCACAAGCGCCTTCTGCAGGAGGCACGGGGCCAGTAACCTGAGTGCAGAGACTCTCCACTCCCCTCTCTCTTCACCCCTTCCTTCTCCCACATCAAATCAGGGACTGAGCCTAGAAAAAGTCAATCACCAGGCACCAGTAATTCAGCTGAGATCGACCTTTATTTTTCACACTGGCACTGAAAAGTCTTGGACTACAACGCCAAAGCAGACAGCTCTTCTGTGATGAGGCTATGTCTAAGGAAATCAGAGGGGGTGAGGAAGAGAGCCCTGCTTCCTCCCTGAGGAAGAGGATAGAAGCATCTGGATAACAAGGAAGGAGGCAGACGGTGGAAGTTGGTTAACCCCAGATTAGAGGCCTCTCTTCAGCACAGCTCCCAGCTCCAGCATAGAACATTACTCCTCCATGCTTTTCCTGCAGCTGCTCCAAATCCACTGCCACAGCACAGGGTATGTGGGCGAGGGAGGGGTCCATGCAGGACAGGGCTGGCATTAGGGAAAATGGCACCCTGAGTGAATTTGTATTTTTGCCACCCTTTATTTGAGTTTGAGAGCAGCAGCATAGGGCACAGGGTGTAAGGACCAAATGCCAGCTTGGCTGCACAGAGAGAAGTTTGGGCCCAGGAGCTTCCATAGCCCAAACACCCTTGCCCAGCTAGAAGGAGAAAAGAGGGAGGGTGCATAGTTACTCTCCATGCCCACAAGAAGGATGGACCCAGGGGTTGGCCCACTGGCTCTACAGGGATAAGCCCTGCTGCTTGCACTTCCTGGCAAGGCTGGCAGCTCCAGGGAGCACTGCCCGCACCCTGCCCAGCTGGCCAGGGCTCCAGCCACACTTGCACTTACCCAACATTGGCAGTTCAGGCCCACCAGCTTGTAGCACTCAGACGCCTCCCCCAGCCCCAATGTCTTAGGCAGTCCTCCACAGAGCCCACCCCCTAAAGCCAGCGCTGGTGCAGGGTGACTGGATGAGGCAGCTGCTGTCTGGCACCAACTTGAGCTGCTTGATGAATGGTGCCACACAACCCATGCAACCAGGCCCTGGATTTTAATGCAAAATGATTCTAGTGAGGTCCAGCAACGTGCTGAACAGAACGAGGAGACACGGGTCCCATCCATCCAGACAGGTCCCAGTGTCTCAGACCCAGATCATCAGGATCCCTGTGGTGATCTGAGCCAGTATCACACTCCAGTCAAATGTGGGCAGCCCTGGCTCTGCCTTTGCACAGAACCTGATGCCTTCTCCTGGCGCCCTGGTATTCCCCCACTCCAGTGAAAGTTATCCCCTCTCAAAGGAGCAAGAAACGGGCTCCTTTCACTCCCCCACCACGACAGGCAGGAAGAGGAGATCAGATGCCAGGGGAATGGTTTGGGGAGAAGCTCCCTCTGGGAGGGACAAAGGCCTTCACTCTCTGTGGCATCCAGCACCAGAAGCAGTTTGGACAACAGGCAGAAAGGAAATACTCAGTCCTGGGTCCTTCAGTAAAATCTAGAACCACCCCCTTCTCCCTGCATACTTAGTAGCTTCTGGTGGCTCTGCAATTCCACTTCCACTGATCAGGTATCTCCTGTGGGGCAGGTAGTTTCTGCAGCAGCTGGGTAATTAACCAGTCCCAATCCTCAGTATTTTTTTCAGCATCCCTCATTGGCTGGGAGCCGCCTCACTCCTTCCGTTCTTGTTAGTTCCCATCTTCCTCTTCCAGAGAGTTTCAAAATCCAGCTGTGAAACTAAATCAGTAACACACATCTGAGTGCCATGGCTTCAAAGGGTGACCCTCTTCCTCCCCAGGATCTGGCCCCTGCACACTCAACGCTCTCTCTCCTCTTCCCTGCCCAGCTTCACACCACCCATCCACCAACAACATATGCCTCTGCCATTCATCCACCTGCCCTTCTTGCCCAGTTCATTTCCACATGCAGTCCAGGAGTTTGCAGGCCCCTGTGCTGAGCACAAGTCTGCCATTCTCCATCTCACCTTTTCTAGGCTGGTGCGATGTCCCACACTGATGAGTGTCATCCCCAGCCGAGTACAGGTGCAGTATAGCTCATTCTCCACCTCCTCTGTCAAGGCACTGGTGGCTTCATCCAACACTGAGAGCAAAGCAGAAAGCCCCATCAACATGACACTACCCAGGAGGACTGCAACCAGTCAGGGAATCTCTGCCCAAGTACTACTCAACTTTGGAAGCCCCAAGGGCCACAATGATACTCTCAGCATATGCCAAGAGCCACAACTTAAATTTGGTTGTATATACATGCAAATATATGCCAATAGCTTCTTTCACACTGACGGGCATGAATACAAAGATTAAGGCAAAACTATACATACACGGGCCCCATTTAAGTCAGTTCTGCTGATATTATTAAAATGCAATATTTACCCAATTTCCACCCATATGACAGCACTTTTAATGAGCAATGACAGTCCAGGGATTTAACTACTAAACCGCATAGCGACAGAAGACCATCACATTGACTACTTTTTTGTTTTGGCTTCACAACAATCCAGGAATTTAACTACTAAAACACGTATCAACCCAAACCACACCGTAAACCCAAATCACAACGCAGGTCGCAAACAAACGGGCTGCGGGCCACATGCGGACCACGTGTTGAGTAGCCCTGCTCTACCCTACAGGTGTGAATTTTGGAATGAGCAATTGCTGAGACCCTTGCTCACATGCTGCATGGGGCAGTCAAGTCTGAAACCTCCATCGAGGGACTCTTAGGCAAACTACAAAAGGTACCAGAGAAGTGGGGCAGGGATCTTTGGGAACTGGGACCAGCAGTGAACAAAGCTACTATCTGCTGAAGGGCAAACCTGGTCTTCCCAACAAGACTCCTACTCCAGCCAAAATGACGCAGCTCACATGGGTACCTCCTTCCATCGCAGCCAGATGCCAGTATCACTGAAGGTTTCTTAAGGAAAGGCAAACCTCAAATACCTTGAGATCTAGAGTAGCGTCCCCTATGAGAAAGCCTCCAGGGCTAGAGACATTGGGGAAGTTAGAAACTCAGACCCGTTCACTCCACCACAAGCTGGCCCTGGCAAGGTTTCTGGATTCAGCTACAAAACTGATGGAACAGACTCGAAATGTTGTGGTTCTTTCACTTAAATTAAAAAGGAAGGGATTTAATTAATACTATGGTCCTAGAGTCCCGGGGGTACTTGGTTAGAGATTAAACTGAATTTATTTTACAGACTACATGAGTTTCAGTTTTCAATATGGCAAAGATTTCTGTGCTGGTGGCAGAGGTTGTGAGGAAACTAGTTACCAGGGCTGGTGACTGGGGATGGTGCTGTGAGCATTTCCACTGGTGATTCATGTTAGCAGAAACATCCAGCTCAACAAACAAGGCGTCTGCCAAATACATTAGGATTTTTAGGTTTCAGAATCAACACCCAGAAGTGATGAATGGGACCTATCACAGAAGTGCGAGGGTAGAAGCGACTTCAGGAGGCCAGCTAGTCCAGCTCCTTGTGCTGAAGCGAGACCACATAAACCCAGGACATCCACACATGTCTGTCTGTCTAATCTAAAATACTGTCAGTCACACGATTCACCAATAAGCCTGGGCTTATCAGTTCATCCTACCAACTACATGCAACCCTAGGTTGGGGGATGAGGTGGGGGGCAGCTCTCTGCATGTACCAGCTTTTGCAGGCCCCATCCCCCACCCCTGCACAGAGGCAGCAGAGTGGGTGGGGGCAGAAGGGAGCCAGTGCTCAAAGGGAACTGGCTTTAAAGCTGGCTTCCAGTGGAGGCAGGAGCCTGTGCCTGTGTGGAACCTGCTTGTAAGCCAACTCCTCACATGTACCCCAGTGCTGCAGCCTTTTTATCAGAGGCAGAGGTGGGAGGTGCAGGTGGGAGCTGGTGTTCGTAGAAAGGAAGCTTAGTACCAGCTCCCGCTTGTTCCTCCCCCCTGCATGTAAACATGTAACTGCTAACATTTCCAGCAGTTACACATTTACACAAACAACAGTTAACATTAAGGATGTTAAATATCGGTTAATTGAATAGTGGATTAACCTCATGAATTTTTATCTGTTAGCGAACTATTCTATAGTCCCCAGGCACGGGGCTAGCAGCCAGTGTGCTCCTGCCCCACTCCCGAGGGGCCCCCTGCCACCTCTGTATCAGAGGCAGCTGCTCGGGGTGCCAGGTGGGAGCTGGTTCATGAGAGGAGATGGTTTAAAAACCAGCTCCCCTTGCAGACCAGCTTCTGCCTCTGATACAGAGACAGCAGTGCGGAGTGAGAGCAGCCCCTGTCTGGGGGGGGGGGGGTGGGCTGAGCTCCTGGACCGGGCACGAGCTGGAACTGAGCCAGGCTGCCTGCCCTCCTGGCTCCTAATACACTCTGAATGCAGAGCCACAGTGGAGGTAGGTCCCAGACCCAGTGCAAACCAGGATTAAGCTTGCTGGCCAGCTTGCTAAAAAAATTATTGGCGGGGGGATGCATGTAGTCTAACCAATAAGCAAAAATGTATAGGTTAATGCTATAATCGACTATAGCTGGAACTGAGCCAGGCTGCCTGCCCTCCTGGCTCCTAATACACTCTGAATGCAGAGCCACAGTGGAGGTAGGTCCCAGACCCAGTGCAAACCAGGATTAAGCTTGCTGGCCAGCTTGCTAAAAAAATTATTGGCGGGGGGATGCATGTAGTCTAACCAATAAGCAAAAATGTATAGGTTAATGCTATAATCGACTATACTAATACATCCCTGGTTAACATCCCTAATCTAACGCCTCCAGTGACAGGTATTCCACAGCGTCCCTTGGTAACCTATTCCAATGCTTAACCCACCTTTTAATTAAGTTTTCCTGATACCAACATAAATCTCTTGCTACAGATTTAGCCAATTACTTCTTATTCTACCTTCAATGGACATCACCATCTTCCTCTCAATAACAGCCCCTAACATATTTGAAGTTATATCGTGTCCCTTTCCTTTACTTTTTTCCTCATAACTAAACAGTCAGTTTTTTAACCTTTCTTTATAGGTCAGGTTTTCTAAACTGTTTATATTTGTGTTGCTCTCCTCTGGACTCTTCAGTTTATCCACATTTTTCTTAAAGCACTGTGCCAAGAACTGGTCACAAGTTTCACGCCAGTGCAGAACAGAAAAATTACCTCCCATGGCTTAGACATAACACCCTTGTTCATACATCTGTAATGGATATTTGTTTTTTCTCAAATGCATCACACTGTTGGTGCATATTCAATTTTTGATTTACTATTGGCCCCAGATCCTTTGCTGTTTGAGTCAGTTATTCTCTGTTTTGTAGCTGTACATTTGATTTTTCCTTCCTAAGCACAGTGCTTCTCTCTCAGCTATTGATTCAGGCTGTCTGCTGATATGCAGACAATACTGTACTGGTTACGAGAATGTCACCTTTTCAAGCTTTCCTTCACAGCCACTGGAGCTAGAAACTAACAGAAGTTTAGATTCCAGAAGACAATTCCACAGCAAAGGGTGGGTTACATGGCACTACTGAACACCAGGCCCTACTTATAACAGTCACCAGAAGAGAAAGAGGAGCCCCAATTAGCACAACTTTTGAAAAGTAACTTCTAATATTTTTCTATGCAATGCTGCATGGAGTGCAGTTACAACCGTCACTGACAGAACTTGCAGAGAGATTTACTGAATACACACTCCCACGTATGAAACTCCCTGGCAAACAAGACCAAGCTAAGGATGAGATCACTTTTCCCACTTGGCACCACTTCCCCCTCCCCACTTAATATTACTCAATACCCACACCCTCTCCCCTTGTCAGAGAGATCACAGATAAACCCCCTGCCAAAACACTATATGCTTATTACCAACAGTTACTGTAAATTAATGCTCTAGCCTCCCCCTGGAGGGAGGGAGGATCTAGTGACAAGGCAAGTCACAGCCTTCCCCCCCCAACGACTCTCTCACTGTGAGCCACAGAACCCACAGTACCATACACAATTTCCTGCACCAGGTAAAGAAGTCAGTACTATAACTCACTGTTCACAAGACACAATGAACAAAGAATTCACTTGCAAGTTACCTTTTGTACTACACAGAGACATACACAAATGCGCACTGAAGTACATGAAGGCTGCAAAAATCAGGAAATGCTAGGATTAAGGCTGACTGTGCAGCCAGCACTCCTGGGGGATAAGAAAGGTTTACCTGTGGATTTCACAGATCTTTGCTGACATCAGAGCAATGGTGAGATTCAGCAGTCTTGGTTTCTACTGCAGGCTCTGGAAGGAACATGCTCCAGAGAGCACAGTCTCCTCTGCCATTCCCTCACTGAAACCTGACCCCTTCTGCCTTGTCCCCTTCAACCTATCCCAGTCTCGTCTCTTATTCATCCCTGGCTCTTCATCCCACTGATGGCACAGGGAAGACAAACTCCCTGCTCTCAGCTCTTGCACCAAGTTTGCACACAGGCTTCAGCAGCAACTGCAGGGAAAGCATTACTCAGCAGAGCGTCAGCCTATCCAGTACAGATTGACACTTCTGCAAAACTAGCTCTAAAGCTCTAGCAAGTCTTTAAATCAGCAGGTGCAAGGTGAAATATTTCAAAGACTCATAACTTAGCTAAATTTGGGCAGATTTTTGTAGAGGATGGTGAAAGGCACAGCCCTGCACAAAGGCCATCTCCCTGCCCGATTTCAAGGCCTTGCTGGAAATCTTGCTCGAGGACTGGGGCAACTGGACCATGGACTCCCATTCCCCAGGAGTGGCTCCAGAGAGAGAGTGCCTGGAAAATATGCCAAAGAGGCCAAAGCCTGTGGCTGGAGCTATCCAGACTGAGAAGAGCTTATTAAGTACATGGATCCAGCACACAGGTCCAGAGGCAGCAGCCTTGTGAGCATTTAGAAGGGAGAGCCCAGTCAGGGCAGGGACACTGAGCAAAGGCCCAGCATAGATAATTTCAGCCTGAATGATTGTTTGGAGAAAGTTATTAACTGAAAACAGGGTCTTGTAATGGTGCGTGTCGGGCAAACTTAGGTGGTTCTGCCAGCCCCATAATAGGGGGAGCTTGCTACAACCTGCGTAGGAGCTCCCATAAAAGAGAATGTTTTCAGTCCACCTTTCATGAGACTCTGACCCATGGCAACTCAGTCTTCCATTTGTGCTCTTTGCAACTTTGCCCACAAGCAGCTTGGTGCCTTTTCCACTTTCTGCCCTTGAGGTAGAAACATGCTCTCTGGCTCTGTGAACCCTCACTTTCACTCTCCTTCAAATCCCGCTTCTTTGCATACTTCTTCCCATATTCTGCAGTCTCCCCCCACCAACAGCACTGATACTAAGATTGCAGGAAAGAATTAAGGATACCAACACAGGAGAGAATCAATTCTGCTGTCTCAGTGGCCGCCTGGTTCTCCCTCACTTTTGTACATTCTCTTTTGCGGGGTTAAGTCCTAACAGACTAAAGTACTGTAAGGCAGAAATTTGCCTTTTTTGGTCCAGCAGGCACCCTGGACATCTTACAGGGCTGCGTAAATATGCTCATTGGGACAGATGCACACTTCACCTGGCAGCTGCAGGATACACACAGGAAGGCAAGACAGATGGCAGAGACCTAGACAGTTCCTGACAAAGGAAAGGGGATTTTTCTAGACAATCTCTGCTTGTTTATTCCTTCAGCTGCAGGAAGACCTGCCTCTTCTCCAGCCTGGAGTCACTCACCTGCATATCTGGGTTGGAGGTAGAAGAGCCTTGCAAATGAGAGTCTCTGCATCTCCCCTGGGGACAAGATGTCATACCTGCAGAAGAGCCAAGAATCAGAACAAGCTGCAGTTAGCACCAACTTGCTGATGCACCAAACCCTCTAGCACAGGGGTCTCAGTCCCGGCCAGCAGGCCATCGCCAGCAGGAGAGATTGATCAATCCTCCCCAGGACTCCCGGTGGGCCAAGGAGACCGGTCTATTACTGACCCCGGAGTCCTACCCCTTCTTGCCATCACCCCACTCTCTCCCACCCATGGCACCCCATCTCTCCAAGGATGTGGCTTGGGGATCACTGAGGCAGTCTGGTGCAGTAGCTGTGATTATGGCCCCCCACATTCTCAATAGTGGCAGGGGGCACAAGGAAGCAGAGCATAGAGGGGCAAGTGCACCTGCCCAGCACGCTCCACTTCCTCCATGACTCCTACTGCCGCAGGGAGCATGGGGGGCCTGACTGCTGCTGTGCCAGTCCCCCGGTGATCCCCAAAGCCACGTGCTCAGGAGGACAAGGTGCCACAGGGAGGGAAGAAAGCAGAGCTTGGGGCAGATATTGCTGGAGGCAGGGATGAAAGAACTGATGGTGCTATAACAATATCTTTACTCCAACTACCATTCCCTTACCCCAGTGCAGCTGAATGCAGAGGACAGGCCCCTTCTAAGCTCTGTGACACTGCTCGGCCCTCACTCCCACCAGGAGATCCACACAACCCAGTCTCAGACACTGCACCAGCCTTACCAGTTCCAATCCACCTGCTGGTCCAGCCCCCCTGTGCGCACCAACAAATCAGACTGCAAATGACATAAGACAAAGACTAATGAAAATCTGAACATATCCCGAGATCTGACCAATTGCCTCTTGTGGCAGATAAGGCCCTGAGTAGAACCATCCCTTTCTTCCCCAATGCTGTCCTCAATAATCCTGTTCCATGCCTCTCCCAAAGTCACCTCCCCCAGGAACAAACATCCTGATTTCACCTTCCCGTGACATCCCTTTTCCCCCCGGTGTCACTCCTGCCCTTGATACATTCCCACCTTCTATGACCATACTCCTCAGCTAAGCCAAGTAAGAAGGTTCTGTCCAGGCTACAGCCAACACCCTACACATGACACTCAGCTGCCCTGTGCTGGGAGAGGACAGCATGGTGCCCCCAATGTTGGGGTAGGATGGAACAAGCCCATTATGTTCTTGTCAGCTCCCTTAGCAACTCACCAGCCCAGCCAGCTCTAGGAATTGCAGGATCCTCTCATCATCCACAGACCCTGCAACACAAAGAGCATCACCACCACATCCAGGACAACAGCATCACTAGGGCAACACCTTCCTGAGGTCACCAAATATGGGCCAAAAAGGGCTCAGACCTCCCACTGCTTTCCATGAGAGTTGCTGGTTGCTTTTTTTAAAAGCAGCTATTTAAAGTCTGTCTGTCTGAAACACTGAAGAGCTGCAGGTTTCACACTCCACCCTCATTCAGGCCATGGCTAATCCTCAAGTGGCTCCTACAGGCCAACACACGCAAGAAAGGTTAAACACCAACGTCCAGGAGCAGCACCATGAACAGAAGAGACTTGCCACTCCAAGCAGTACATTTCAGAGCTGTATCTAGAGCCTGAGTCAGCAAAGAGCAAGGGAGGAGAAACAGCAAGAACACAGGGTGTTCAGTAGTTCTGACAATGCCTAATTGCCATGGTAACATGCCTTATGCAAGGCTGCCTAAAAGCTTTAACCCTCATATTGCAAGCTGGGGAATCCAAGGGTCAGAACACAGGCCTCAGCAAATGGAGAATTTCACAAGGGGAACAAGAAGTTCCAACAAACGAAGGGGGACACTATCAGAGCTAAAAGCGAGTCAGCCACATGAGCTGATGTGGAAGTTGAGCAGAAGAGCTAAGTACTTACTATGCCCCTCTGAAGTTAACCATTTTTCACCTTAACATTAGCCAGCTACAATGCACTCTACATGTGGCTACGCTTCCAGCCTACCTGGAAGCAGACTGTTGTTGCCACTTCATTGGCTATTACTTCACTCGGACATCATTACACTGGAGCGCTGCACACTGCACTAGCTCCCAATCAGACTCCAGTCAGGGTACAACTGATAGAACCCCACAAGGCTTGACTCCTGGCTACACTGGTCACAAGGGTGTGTTGGGATTTCTCTTTCCTCTTGTAGGATGCCTCTCACAGCAGGGCCTTACTCTGAATACAGTTCCTATGGGTCTGGCAGAACCAGGAGGCACTTCCTTAAAGACAAAATGTAAAGTTCAGCTACTTTCTCAGCCACCTCTTGAGGGAGTGGGTTTATTTAGAATAGGCACCCTAGGCAGGATCTATACTCTAGAAAGTAGGCATAATACACAATAAGAGCTACAAGAAATGACTGTCCAGCGCCTCTTGACACAGCAATAAATCCTCACTATCAAAAAGGAGGGTAACACAAACCCAGGAACAAGAACAATCAGGAATGGGTGGTGAAACAGAGCTGTTACCATTTAGCAAGTAGTTCTGTGGTCTGGGCAAGCTTTGGATGGGCAGTTTGCTGGGCACTTTTTTTTTTTTTTTTTTTTTTAAGATAGGGTTTTTTTTAGCAAGTTACCATTTAGCAAGTAGTTCTGTGGTCTGGGCAAGCTTTGGATGGGCAGTTTGCTGGGCACTTTTTTTTTTTTTTTTTTTAAGATTCGGTTTTGTATAGCAAGGTGTTTAACACAAAAAAACCACACCTAGACCAATGGGAAAGGTATGTTCCAGAACTCTAAGTATCTATAACTTACTATGACAACAAGACAATTTGGTTCTGAACAGGGCAGTCAATAAAATAAGTTGGGTAACATTACAAAGAACAAAGGAGAGTCATGGGTAATTACTACAGTATTGAAAGATAATCGACAGTACCCTGACTACTTGAATTCATGGATCCTGTTCTCATGCGGGAGTCCCACTTCTAAAACGCCCTTCCTGGACCTATTTCTGATTGATTAGAAGGTGCAGACTCAGTGTCTGACTAATTCAGAATCTGAGGGAGTTCAGAAGTCTAGTAAGGATGATTTGAGCACTTCCCCTCCCCACACACATGGAGATCAACAGGGAATCCTAGAAGATTCTGTACGTAAGTAGCAATGAACAATGATGCAGAGCATAAGGGACAAGCAGTAGCCAACATGGTCTCACAAGGGGCTGTTCACAAGCATAAAGCCTCCTGGAAGTGTAGAGAGAGAGCATGGAGCTGATTTACAGAAAAGTCTTTCAAGGAAATGCTATGGGCAGCAAAAGCAGAATGGGTTAGTGCTACTATGTACAGACTAAGGATGTTAAATTTCGTTTAACTAATTGAATAGTCGATGGAAATCCCATTGACTATTTGATTAATCGATAAGGACTAGCATGGCCTTTGAAATGTACAAGAGGCCCAGCAGGGGCTCTTGTGCCTTTCGAAGATTGAAACGCCAGGTGGAGCCCAGGGCCAACGGGGACTCTTGTACATTTCAAAGTTGGAACGCCACTGCTGCGCCCCTGCCACGGAGCTGGAGGGAACTGGCTTTTAGGCCGGCTCCCCCCAGCACCCCTTCCTCTTCCTGCTTATAGGATAGTCAACTAGTCGCTTACATCCCTTGTACAGACAGGCAGGGAAGGTTTGGGCTGGTCAAAAGATGTACTGGTTGGGTGCATAGACAGGTGCAACTAAGGATCAGTTAGTAGCTGCTTCACCTAATTTCCACTCACCTGAATCTGGATAAATCTTCTTCAGAGGGTAAATCACCTGGATGAACAAACCAAACAGAGCCATGTCAGAGGAAGCTGGACTTGGAATTCATCACAGCCACACGCTGAGCTCAGAACTCAGACACAAGATGAGCTCCCCCAGTCCTCTCTCTTCTGTGAGCCTTTATGCAGCGCAGTTTCCTAGCACTGGGGTTGCTTGTCCTGTCCCATCCGCCCTGGCTGAGTGCGGCTAGGGACTGGGACTGTCACCCTTTGTGCAGCCAGCCTGTGGGACCCCTGCACCAAGCTGACCCACCTGCTCTCGCAGAGTTCCATCTGTGAAGAAAGGTCTCTGCGGCAGGAACACCACCCCATGGGGGCCAAAGCAGGTCAGCATGTGGACATTCCCTGCACAGAGCCAAGAGACAGAGTCACACCAATTCACAAGCACACCTTCTAGCCCCTACCCAGTGCACAGCCTAGCATTAGTAAGATGCAAGCACCACGTAAGTATTACGATTCCATTGATCAGAGCTCAGGTGCTCAGCACAGCACACGGAGGAGGGGACACTCACACCATAGGGAAAAAGGGACAACTCAAACACACCAGTGACAGCACTCACATGCATAAGTGCTAATGGCCCCAAATTCCCACAAGTGACTTGGGTCCCACCCTCTAGCCTTCCTGCGACAACACCAGCTCCTGCCCCCCATTTACTAGGATGAAGTTTTGGAGAAGTCACTGTCTTTACCCCGTGTGCTGTCCCAGAGGCCACCAAGGACCCTTAGGAGCGATGTCTTCCCTGTGCCAGTGTTCCCCACGATCAGCAGGTTGTTCCCTTGTGAAATCTTCAGGTTCAGATCCTTGATGAGCAGTTTGTCCGAGGATGGAAGTGAGAGAGAGACTCGCTCCAGGAGGAAGGCTGTATCCCCCAGCACAGGCTGCTCTTCAGAACCACTGGAGCCCAGGCACCAAGGCAGAGAGCAGAGAAAAGAGCCAATGATAAGTGACCGAGTCCTGCCTTGTAAATGGCTTATGCCTCCCCTAATGTCATGTTTAGCACCCAGATATCATGGCAACTAGGGCTACAAACAAACTTAACAGGTGCCAGGCTTCAGGATTAGAAAGCACCAGCTACTGGGGTATCAAGGTGCCATTTATACCAGCTACACCATGGAATAACGGGCTAATCAGCAACCCTGCATGGACTACACAAACCACCCACATGCAGCAGGCGCTGGTACAAGGTCATCTCAGTCCAAGAGAGCCATGAGAGAGACCAGCCAGAAGGACAGCAAGATTAACCTTGATCAGGCTCAGTACTCATGCCAAAGTGTGATATCCAGGTCTCCCTTGGGGAAAGACTGCCATAGTCACTGCTAGCTTTGGAAGGTTCTACTGGGAATAAGCAACCGCCAGGGATGGTCTACACTGGAAAAAACAAAAAAGGGCCATGATGGCAGGTCTCGGAGCTCAAGCTAACTGGGCTCACACTGCAGTAGTGATGGGCAAAATATGACCCGTGTGCCGGATCTGTCCCATCGCAGCCCATGGTACTTAGAGTGGCCGGCTGCTGAGGTCAATGTGTGTCTATGTAATGCGTTCCCCCTGGGGGGAGGGGAACAGTGGATTGCCGCACAATGCACACCCCCACAATCACTGCTCTTGCAGCTCCCATTCAATGGGAAGCCGTGAGGATAGTAGCGGGGGCAAGGCACAGAGGCCTCCTTGCCCTCAAGGGGAACAGGCTTCGGGCCACACAGACATACATGCCAACCTTAACATCTGGGTGCTTTAAGCAGCATGTGCAGCTGAGGTAGCCAGGGAGCCTGCCTGCAGGTCCCAAAGGGCCACCAGCTGGGAGCTGCCCACAATAAGTGTTTTCCAGCCAGAGCCTGCACCTGGCACCCTCTCCCACACCCCAAAACCCTGCCCAACCCCCTTCTGTACCCAACCCCCCCCCCAGATGCTGCATCCCCTTCTGTACCCCAGTCCTCTACCCAGAGCTCCCTCCTGTACCCAAACTCGACACCCCTCCATTAATATTATACAGAGGTGTGGCCTCAACAACCAAACCCCCATAAAAAACTATTGCCCACTCCTGCACTACAGAGCTAACAGTAGCAACGTAGGCATTGCTGCTTGGGCTGGACCTCAGACTCTGAAACCCAGCGGGGGGAGCGGGGTCCAAACTTGAGTGGGCAAGTCTATACTGTTATTTTTAGCTCTATGGTGCAAGCAAAGGACCCAGGCTCTGGAGCTTGCTGCCACAGGGTTTTCTTTGCAGTGTAGCCATACCCTATGAAGCCTTCCGATGGCAGGGCCATACTTCAATCCAGAACTAAACGGTGATTCAAGCTAGAAAAACAGCCTGCAAGGAATCAGCTACTTGATGATGGAAAGATGAGAGAGAGAGAGACGATTCATTGATAACTTTTAAAACATCCACACCTTCCTATGAATTGAGTCCTGGATCCCTGTCTCGCTCTCCCCTCATGCACTCACTCATCTACCTAGAGTTCAAACTCTGGGAGGCAAAGGCTGTTATTGTAGGTGTTTGTGCAGCGTCCAACACAAGGGGGCCCAGATGCTGTGTGGGGCCATGTCTGCAATTATGTATGTTACACTCAGTGGGGCTCCTGGCTCACTCTGCCTCAGGGCTCCCAGATCCAGTCTTCTCAGGCTGCAAATCAGACTGTAGGATCCAAACTGTTCATTCTACTTCATGCCTCAATGTCCACAATGGGAGTTGCACTCTGAACAAAACCAGCAACAAGCTTAGTGATGCATGAGGCAAAGGAGAATCCATCCTTCTCTGCCACCTACTCAGGCCCTGGAACCCAGCAGGAAGGAGTCTGAGAGCAGAGTCAGCAGAAATGGCAGGACCAGAAGTCAGTTTGCTGGCTAGAGGCATCTAATACAGGCCCAGACCAGCATTTTCAGACTTTGGGGCTTGCAGTCCTCACTCACGAAAGGCAGGCCACTTTGATTTAGGCCTGCCTTTAGACTTTAAGGTGTGGAAAGGCTGGCTTATGCCTCTAAACATGCCTTCAGGTCCCCACTCCTCCAAGTCCTGGCACTAATCCCACAAACAGCAGGAACACATGCAAAAACATAGAAACAGCCGTGAGTGCAGGGGTGTCTATGCCAGACAGGTTGTGATGATCTGGGACAGTGGCAAGAGGGAAATTGCTGAAGTAGAGCCCCATGTGGATTGATGCAGTAAGGAACCGCAGGGAGCTTGAAACTGGCCAAAGCCCTGGAGAACCACAATATCAAGTGCAATCCCAAGAGCTGCTGGAGTCAGAGAACATTAGGTAGAGCTTCTCTCTAGAGACATTATTTACTATCTTCACTAAGGTTGTGTGTCCTGAAATTTCAGTTGGCATCACAGTGCTGGGTACTGCCAGTACATGCATGCAAGCATATACAGACCTGCTCCCTGCCCCAAACAGCTTACAAACTAACGTGAAACAAGCTGCGACAGGTAAAGTGTGACAGCCACAGGGGAGAGGAGGTGGGCAGTAACAGATTGTATGATCACAAATACATCAGCAGTAGAAGCACTCAACTCGTTGGCCTCAAAGGGCTTTTTCACATGCACCTGGCTACCAGCATCTTCCTCTTATTGAGCAATTTGATTTCCAAGCAATCTGTACAGTTTTAATTTTCAGGTGATAGGAACATACCTCCCTGCCTCAGGGAGATTTTAGGGACATGCACAAAAGTTGTTTAAATCTCTGCCTAATCCTTGGGCACAGAGGATGTAGACCTCTGACGCTCCTTACAGCACTCCTGAGGGAAGGATGCTAGGCTGTAGTGTTTGGAGCAACCCTATATTTTACCATCCCAGAGGCACATCCAAAAAGCCTGATGAACTTGTGAGTTTTCCCCACAACCTAGAGACCCAGGTGCAGACAGTAAATTACCATCCCAAGCTCAGGCTGGCTGCAGATACTCACTTGTCAAAGTCCCAGTTGCTTTTGGTTTCTGATTCACAGTCCCTGTGTTTCCTGGAGAGAGACAGCAGTGTCTCCAGCAGCTCCCCAATCCTGTAAGACAGAGGGAGAAGCAAGAAGGTCAGAAATGACTCTGCAACCCTCCCCCAAGTTCTGGCTCCTGTCCTCACTGAGCTTCGTAACAGATTTGTTTAGGCTGAGCAATGTGCTTAGTGCTGTACAGGATGCAGAGCAAGTCCTACCCTGCATAGCTTCTGGGTGAACCGCTGACAGGATGGTCATGCTGGAGAAACGGGGGGAGGTTAAAAGCATTTTCTTGCTTTTTAAATTGCATAGGAACTTTTAAAAGCGTTCCTACACATCAAGCATCATGGGAAGCTTTAGGAGGGACGCTGGGAAAGAGATGCAGTCAGTTCAGTGCCTTCCACTGCAAGCTGCTCACTGGACTGGAAAGTATCTGGACCCCAGCGGGCTGCAGCTAAGGCATATTTTAAAGGAAGAGCTGCTCTTCCATTCAGCATCTCGCCTCCTCAGTGGCTTCTGTTAGCAAGGGGATTCCAGTCATAGGTAATCAGCACCCAGCCCTCCACAGAGAAGAGCCCCCTGCCTACCTCAATTCCAAATGGACCCCCTCAGTGACTGAGTGCGAGCTCTCTAGGGCAAAGGTACTCTCTCATTAGACGTATGTACCATACCTAGTACCATCTGGGCTGGCCTGTGGGGGCTATCCTCATACTAAGAATGGCTCCTTGAACAAGATGATCGCATGTTAGCAGTTTTCCCCTTCAAAGAAGCCCTGCCAAAGGTACAAGCTTCCCCAGTTCTGCCAGAGCTGCTGACTGGGACAGTCCCAGAAGCCTTATTCTGGGGCACCAAAAACACTCCCTTTCCTGCAGCCACCAGCTTGGAGACAGGCTAAGGAGGGCAAATCTCACCTGTGTGTGTAGCCAGCCACATCAGATAAGGTAGCGGAGAGATCGATAAGCTGGCTGAAGCAGCTGATGAGGTAAATGGAGACAAAGGCATTCTGTGGGAGAATCACACGCCGGGAGAAGAGTTAGCACAGAGACAGTGCAGTAGCGCCCAGGGCAGAGGCAGCTCTGCCTGCTCATAGCTAGCAGCACTGGATACCATGTGCTCAACTAAGGGCAGCCACCTCAGGTGGGCACATACAAACTCTCAGACCCTAGGAGAGTAGTGGCCCAGCACAGGAACAAACCACAGAGAAAGGGGAACCAGACAGGAGACTTAAGAGGGCTCATCTGAACCAGTCAATACACTCTCACGTGGGGAGAGTCCTTTTAAGGATGTAAAAGATTAACCAGTAAGCATTAGCCTTACTGACATGCGTACCCAGTAATTGGTTAACCAAAGGGCCAGGGAGTCGAAGTAACCCTCCCCCACCCTGGCTGGAGCAGCCCCTCCACCACCCACAGGGACCCCTGCCATGGGGGCTCACCAGCCTTCCAGGGTTAATGGGTTACACAATTAAAATTATATCATGTGACCCATTAATTTTTAATGGATATTTACATCCCTAATACCTTTTACTGTCTGCTAGGAGCTTCCCTTTCTCACTCCCCATGGCCATTGAGTGAACTGCTTTCCATAAGGCCATCCCTGAAAGGAACACAGTAAGCCTGCTGCAAATGCAATGCCAGGCCAGGGGGCCTGGTGGTCTGGCCAGAAGACTCCCTAGAATCCTGGATGAGCACCTCCGACTGATGCCTTAGGAATCCCTGCCAGCAGGGAGCTCCTCTCAGTACTCCAAGGGTTAAAGCCTCTAAAAGCTTTCAATGAAAGAGGACCAACCAGAAGCACCACTAGGAATTCAGAACAAACAGGCTGCAGCTGTTTGGTTAGCACATCCACAAGTCCTGTGGCCAGAAGACTCCCTAGAATCCTGGATGAGCACCTCCGACTGATGCCTTAGGAATCCCTGCCAGCAGGGAGCTCCTCTCAGTACTCCAAGGGTTAAAGCCTCTAAAAGCTTTCAATGAAAGAGGACCAACCAGAAGCACCACTAGGAATTCAGAACAAACAGGCTGCAGCTGTTTGGTTAGCACATCCACAAGTCCTGCCAAGCTGCACTGCAACTCCTGCCAGCACTGGGGTCAGTGTCCCCTTCCTGGTGTCACGCTGACCATTCCCCACCCACCCTGCACTGGAAGTGGTCTGCGACTCTCAGAAGTGTCTCTCTGCTACACAGCCTGGAATGCTAAGCAGGCTACTTTTAGAACTGCATTACCAGCCTCAGCTATTTTTGTTTCGCTGGGAACCAGTCAGATTTGGAGGCCCCACCCAAGGAGCCTAGTGAGGCAACAAAAGCAGGAGAGAGTTCAGCCTCCTAGACAGAGCAGTTCCAGGCAGATGGGGCTTTTGAAGCCAAGTATCTGGTTTGTGGACAGGCTGGTTTTATGAAAAGCCAACTCTCTTGGAGCCTCTCTTCAGCCAGCAGGAGCAGGGGGGTTGGCAGGGCCAGTGTTGCATGGGCCTAGCCCTATTCCTCCAGCAGGAGCAGGGGGGTTGGCAGTGTTGCATGGGCCTAGCCCTATTCCAATGCCTTGTGCTATTTCAATAGCGTGTTTCATTTAAAGCAGGAGGGCCTGATCCTGCAATGCCTGTGAGTGTGATTAACTCTCCATACCTGAGTGCATTGAGTCAATCACACACTTAAGAGTTTGCAGGCACAGGACTTACATTTCTAGCCCTTATGTTTGCAAAGAATGTCCTGAGCATGACTTAGTGCTAGTCAGTCACCTCTACAGAGGGGCAGTCACCCCCTCAACTTCCAGTACCGCCTCTCACAATGCACTGCTCTCTCTGCTAGTCACCCTTTCCACTGGAGTCTAGCCCTGCACAACACATTGCTCTCTTTGGACTTAGCACCAGAACCTCAGGATTAAGTCAGTCTGGGCTACTTCACACTCCCATAGCCTACTGTCCTGCAGGTGCCAGGGGAAGAAACGCAGCACATGGAACACATTCCTCTGGGAGATGGTGCTGAACTCACCTTGCTGACCAGAGCACTCAGCTGTGCCGGATCCAGGTCGCCGTAGACACCGCTAAAGATGGGAATGGCAATCACCACATAACTCAGAATGCTGCCCAGATAGTCAAAGGTGTTGATCCCAACTGGGTATAAACACATTAGCAGCAGTCAATGAGCAGGGAGCACTCTCTGGCCCAGGCAAATCCATTTTCAATTCCTCAGGCCAAAGAAAACTAGTCCCACCTCCCAGTCACGCACCTCACACTGCACCTAGGGGGCCAAGACAAAAGACTGAATTTCCCCACATCACAGGGATGAAAACCGACCTGTTGGCATGCAGCTCCCACAGGCAGAGCACCGAAGTGGAGAAAATGCCATTGATATACCACTACCCCCTTGGCTAGAGTACCTTAGACAGAGCAAAATCCACCCAGCCCACTTCTTTCCAAAGGCCAGAGCCTCTGCTGCCTCTTAGAAATATGGAAGAGCAAAGTGGCCAGCCAAGCCTGAGACACAGGAAGGAATACCTGGGGCTGGAGGCCTACATCACTGAGCTGCCTAAGGAACATAGGAAAAGTAGAAATGCTCAAGTGTGCAGAATTCCCACATACATCACTCCACTGTTTGCAAAGTGCTCTACCTTCCACCCTGAAGGCAAGGTACTCACTTGCCCTTAACCCTAAGCACTAAGGAATTGGATCTGGTGGGGCTGGAATCAGGACCACAGTCAAGGTTTCCAGACAGCACCAGCATGGGGGGAAAGGCTGAACACAGACCTGGTCTCAGAGCAGCTCCCATCTTCCCCCACCTATGCTTCTCCCTCCCAAGAGCCCAGTTTCCCTGCTCTTCTTAACAGGGGTGCTGCTGACATTGTTCCCTTGGTCTTCTGGCTTTGCCAGTGTCCCCCCAAGGTATCAACATGATACCAAACTTCATTCTCTCATGGGCTCTCCTCCTGGAAGGCAATACTGCCTCAACACACCTAAGGTGCCGGAATAGGGATGTTAAGTAATGGTTAATTAGCGAATCAAAAACACCTAAGGTGCCGGAATAGGAATGTTAAGTAATGGTTAATTAGCTAAACGAATAGTTGGTGGAATTTCCATCGACTACTCGATTAGTTGATACACTGGTGCAGCTCTGCATTTTAAATGTAGTAAGAGGTGTCGGACTTTTACTGCATTTGAAGTGCAGAGCCACAGGGGGGTTAGCTCCCAGGGCCAGCACAAGCCAGGACTGAGCAGTCCCAGCTCACATCAGCTCCAGGACCACTGCATCTCTGACTCTCCTGCCACCTCCTTGCTGCCTTTAATACAGAGGTGAGAGGGGGAGCAAGTAGTGAAGTAGTCACTAGAGTAGTCGCTTATATCCCTATGCTAGGGCACTAACAGGTATCACCCCCCTCCGTGGCCAAGGGTAGTGGAAGAGCAGTCAATACTCCTGTATGTCCCTGGAGACACACTCCCCAGGCCAGATGATTTCCCTGATGAAGAGTCCACATCCCCTTGCAAATTACAGAAATTCTCCACTTACTGTAGAGCCACCCAGGCCAGATGATTTCCCTGATGGAGAGTCCACATCCCCCTGCAAATCACAGAAATTCTCCACTTACTGTAGAGCCATAGCTCCTTGCCCATCAGCTCCCTCTGTGTGTGCAGTAGGCTTTGCAACCGGCGGTCAGTTCTCATGTGCTCTACCCGCCCAGCTCTGCAAAGCAAGGCAATAGCAGGCCATAAATTTGCCACGGCCATTCACATGTTGTGCGCCCTGCAGCATGATGAAAACATTGCAGGACTATTGTAGCTATCTGGAGCATGCCCATCACCATAGTATTACAGCAATGTTATTGCGGTGGCAGGTTACCCTAGAAAGAAACGCCAAGGGGCTCTGGCAGATTCTGTTAAACGTAGAGGACAAAAGAAAGAGCCAAGTACCCATCACCATAGTATTACAGCCATGTTATTGCGGTGGCCAGGCACTAAATACCCGGTGCTGCCTGGTGAATGTGCTTGTTTAGAGTGCCTCAGCTGAGGCAGGTGACCCTAGAAAGAAATGCCAAGGGGCTCTGGCAGATTCTGTTAGACGTAGAGGACAAAAGAAAGAGCCAAGTGACGATACCAAGGCCCAATACCAGACTAGGGGCCAGTGAGGCTACTTCATGCACCTGAGCAAAGAATCTTCTGGAAAGGGCTGCATTCCTGGAGCCTGAAAGAGGAGCAGCGTGATGAGCAGAGGTGGTGATGAGAGTCAGGTAAACAGGATAGGTAAGATTCCCAAGCCACAGTCTGGCCACTTCTCTATCACTTACCATAAGCAGATGTGGATTGATTACTGATCTCTTGTGGGTCACTTGAGCTCAGGCCTTAAACATCCTGAGAAGCCAAAGCCAGAGGTATTTAAAACAGTTAACCCAGTTGAATCTGTGCCTACTGCATTCATGTCTCTGGAGCTGTCTAAGGTTGGATTTCAAACCTGGAAGGGGGCTCTTCTCCCACTCCAGCTTAAGTAATGGTTGTAGATTTGCATCCCTCTGAATACACAGTGGGAGCCTAGTTCCTGGCACCAGAGAGCTCCACTCATACACCAACTCACACTGGCTGAAGCCTGCAACAGCTGCTTCCACTCATTCGCAAAGTTTGCAGTGCCCTCAAGTGGCGAAAAGCAGAAAAATAAAATGTTTAGTATTCAGACACAGGCTGTGTGCATGCTGAATTTTTAACAACCCTGGCTCCCAGTGGAACTGCACACAGCGCAGGCCCCCGGTGGAGCTGCCAGTGTATGTCTAGTGCAACTGCTTTTACCACCACGTTCTGCCTGCAGCATGCCTACATGATGCAGCAGTGAATATACTTGTGCCCAGCTCCCGTTATTGTTAGTACCACGTGGACACCAGGCTAGACCAATGGAAGGAGAACTGCTACAGATACTCAACCAGAAAAATTCCGGTAATCCACACACACAGTGCAGAGAGGGAGGGCTGACAAATGGAGGAGTCCCTGCTGTCCCCCAGTGACAAGATCCCATAGTACTAAGGCAAGAAGAAGAGGGGAGAACACTGACTTTCACTGTGTACCACCAAGCGCTCCACTTCAGACCTTCTCAAACTGGGGTCCCAAGGAATCAGGGTTCCAGGCAGCCAAATACAACATCTTTAGCAATGATTTGGTTCAGGCAGGTAAAGAGCATGTTGATGACATTCACAAGGGGTACTGCAATGGGAGGCACTGCAGACACCATACACAGCATTGGGCAGATCCCACCTGGGAGAGCAGGCTCAGTTCCAGGCACCACATGGTAGCAGGCATTGGCAGATTGGACGCAATTCGGAGAAGAGCAACAAAAGTGAATGGGGAACAGGGGGAATGAGCCAGAAGGAAGAGAGAGAAAGAACTAAAGTCTAAATGGGCTGACAACAAAGGGGAAAATAGGAGAGCAGTGGGATGAAATTAAGAAAAGGGAACCTTAGAACAGATCTCAGCAGAGGATCTTGGCAGAATAGAGTGAGACCCTGAACAGACACCAGAACAGCAGAAGAGGTCCCAGTGTGACACGCCAGAAAGTGGTCTGTAGGCCACAGGATATTGCTAAACTGGACCCTGAGGAGCGATGGGAGAAGGCTGTTCCTCTCCACTGCCTAGGATTTTAACGCACTTGAATTAATTGTCCACTGACAGTGGGTGCTGTGTAGAGACTCTGCTACCATCACAATTTAGGAAACTCTCCTACGGGCAGGAGAACTGTATGACCCAGCATAGGCCTTGTACTTGGCTCACAGAGGGGTCATAACAGAGCAGCAAATTAGAGACTTGGTACCAGGCACAGGAGGCAGGGACAAGGGCCCTTAAACGAGAAGGTTTAAAGCAATGCAGGCAGCAGGATAGGTCCCTCCCCTTACTGATCTGGAATGTGTGAACTGAGCAGTTACTCTGGGAGCTGGAAGGATCCATAAAGAGAGAAGAGAAGAAATGGGTTAGTCCATCATTTACCTGTAGAAAGCAGCTGATTCTGCATTTACACGAATCTGCATGTGCTTGAACCTGTACAACACAAACCAAAACATATGACATGCTCACCCCACGGATTAAACAATGAACATCCCTGCAATAGAAAAATCCATCCCTGCTCCTGCCATCATGCTGAGTGATCCAACAGATTTTTAGCCCAGTAATGTGCCTGAACACAGGGTCACAGGCCTTGACCAAGGTTCAGTAGAGCACTCCACTGCCCTATACATAGGTACTACCAGAGCAGGGCATTTCAGAGGTCTAGTGTGGTCTCCTCTCTTCTGCATCAATCACATTGGACCACTGGTATCCCCCCACTGGCACTGTCCAGTATCCTGTTTACTAGCCCTGTATCTCTGTTACACTAGATCAAATCAATGAGGTCATATAATCGAGCAGCCTCAGGCTGCACTGTATCACATCAATGGGTACATCTGCTCTGCTGTCTACACCTCTAATAGTGATGGATGCTTCAGAGGAAGCTATCAAACCCTGACAATGCACCTGGTATTAATACAATACCTTCCAATGGTTTATGCCCTCAAGCATCAAGAGAGATTTAAAAGACCCAGCTTGGTTGCAGGTGGGGATTTTAGTCACGTCGTAAATGTAAGTGCATGTGTGTGGTGGAAAGAAGAAGAGTGCCTCAAATCTCTGCCACCCATCCTTGGGGGAACATGGCTCAAGACCCAACTTAACAGAAGCTCTATGCTTCCTCTGTTCCACAGCATCTCACTGAAATTAGCAATAGCAACAAGGTATCAGTGAAAAATATTGATAGTCTGACCAACAGAGACTCTAATGGCAGGGTTGGCTGGGGGTTAGCAAGTTGAGCCCAGATGGGTGTCTCCGAGGCTGGGTTCAGTGGGCTGGCTGTGGCCTCAGAGAAGCAGAGTAGGCCGACTTGCATAGTCAGAGGAGGAGATTAACTACTTATTTCCACTGCGTGGGCTGGACATAGGGCCAGGCTTTAAACAGGAATTCCAGGAAGGAAGGGTCAGTGACAGCAAGCCTCTGATCATGAAAGGCTGCTAGGCACTCACCTGAAATCCCCTTCTAGTTTCTCCTGATGCACCAGTTTTGACACAATGGGACTCATCAGCACCTTGTTAACAACTGTTCCAATGACAAAATATCCAAAGATGCTTACTGGGCCCAGCCAGCCTGTGCTAAAGGGGAAGATGGAGAGAGGTTAGCTAGCAAACCCAGGAAAGGCCTCAGTCAGAGCAACACCCACCCCACTATTACTGGGGTCAGGGACGGCCCGTGAGCCAAGGCGAGCTAGGCAGCTGCCTAGGGCGCCGCTGCCCTGGGTGCCCGGTGATGATGTCACAGGGTGTTGGGGGGCGCCCCGTGATGATGTCATGGTCATTGACGGCCAAGCAGGCAGGGGTGGCTCCTCGGGAGTGGGGCCAAAGCACACTGGCTGCCAGCCCCACCCCCGGGACTACAGAATAGTCGAGTAACCAATAAGAATTAACGAAGTTGATCGACTATTCAATTAATTGATATTTAACATGCCTATTCAAATCCCCAGCCACTAAACTCTGAACTGTAGCACCCTCAGGCTTGGCGTGAAATCACCTCTGAGAGGTGCCGCATTCCAATGGGAAGATGCAGAGAGCCTACCTTTGAAAGCACTGATAGGTGTAGTAGCTCAGTGTAAAAGGAGAAAGGATGAGTTTACTGGCCATAGAGCTTAGCTGTCTGCAGAATCTCTCCACATCTTGACTGATTCGCTGGTCTCTGCTCAACATAAAAGCAACATGGACTGTTAAAACCAAGTATGAAGCAAATCAGAACAAGAGATAATAAAGCTCTGTCAGGATGCACCTAGTTCCTTCTTTCACCACTTCCTCCCCATATGCTACACAGAACTTCTCCATTTTCTATTCTTGGGGTTTTATCCAATCCAGGTTTTGGAAAAGTAAGTGAAGAGGGCTTCCACCACTTCCCTTGGGAAACAGTTCCACAACCTGACAGGACTTAAGATGCCACTAACACCATCCAGGCACATGCAGCGTGTTCCTTTTATTATCTTCATCTCATTCCCAGTTTTGCCCCTTAGCCCACTCTGAATCAACCCTCTCTCCTTGATGCTCACAACTCTGCTCTTACTTGCTATCTCCTGGGGCCTATGTACATTACTGTGGCAGGGATGCTGTCTTTCCTTTGTCTGTTAAGCAACATTTATGACTCCATATAAGTAATATTAATTCAGATACTCTGCTAGAACCCTGAGCTGTTTGGATCTGCCACACTGACTGTGGCCATCTATTTTTCCGCTCCCCCCTCCCCAGCCTAGGGAGAAGTGAGAGAAAAAGAAAGGGAAACAGTTTCCAGTTTGATTAACACGTGTGAGCTAACGAGAGACCACCTCACCATCACGGCTCAGTCTCTAATCTGGTGCAATGGAAGATTCCCAAGGAAAACCCAGCAGACAAATTTATGTTGGAATGAAAAGTATTCCACAGCAATACAATGAATTAATTCTGCCATGGAATTTAGGACTTACTGTGGTACAATTTGTCTCATGTTGCTGAGAAACCAAGGGGGCCCTGATTATATCACACATGCCCCTGTAGCATTTGAGCACATCCCAGGTTAAAGGCTAACATTTAACTAAGATAAGACTGGTGAGAGGCTTATTTGAAAAAAACACCTGACTATTCTTAAGTTTTTTATTTTGATCCATGCACTGCACTGGCTGCTTATCACACTAACAAGGCATCCAGGTATCTTGGCATTAGGCACTACTTTCTAAACCTATTTCTGCAAGACTGGTTGAGTACAAAGTTTTGTTAATAGCAAACATTTCTTAAGGTTGGCAGCTGCTCCAGTCATGGCTAAAGAATCATGGTTCAGTGCCACTGCTGTATCTCCAGCCCACACAGATGTGATGCTAATCACTTTTATTACAGAATGATCATGATTCTCTTAGTTGAGAGAACTAAATTACCTGAAGTCATCTCCATTAACAAGAGTTATGATCCTCATTAAGCAAGCATTTCCTTTAAGCAAGTAACTATCTCCGGGCTCCACCCAATCCTCTGGAAGGTGTCACTAGTAAGAGAAGTGACTTGTACCACTAGCTATCCAAGTCTGAAATACCCATTCCGCAGGGTATGCATAAAATGTCATTATGTAGCCATGTAACTTGCTACAAATTGGTTTCTATTTTTTTGTTTTGCCACAAATATTTGGTTCATAATGTGAAGGATAAAAATATGTTCATCTTCTACTCTCTCCAACTGTGCTACGAGTGCATCTAACAATATTGACTACATAAATCTATGGGCAGCCTGAAACAATAGTGCTGTGAGGGGTGACATCTAACTGAAGGGATCACTTGAAAGTCTAAGGGTGTTGATTCAAACAGCAACATTTACAATTTAGCTGCTTGTTTTATCAGAATTATCCAGCTAATACACCTCTCCTTGTCCTGCTTGTTGATGCAGTGGCAAACATGGTAGCGGGGTATGATGGAGAAGACAGCTGATAAAGTTTGCTGGGATGAGTGATGAGGAATTCAACCCTCCACCCATTGCTCCTGTGTTCAAAGTCACCTCTGACACTGCCCAAAAGAGGATGGGAAAGAGAAAATACACCAGCTTCTCCAGGGCTACATCTAGACTGGCATGATTTTCCGCAAATGCTTTTAACGGAAAAGTTTTTCCGTTAAAAGCATTTGCGGAAAATCATGCCAGTCTAGATGTAGCCCTGGAGAAGCTGGTGTATTTTCTCTTTCCCATCCTATAGGCCTCTATTGCAAGAAACAAAGCCAGCTCCCAAGCCTTTCCTGGGATGTCAAAGTTCCAGATGACTCCTGCCTGGCTGTCAAAACCTTTTAATTGTATGAAGGGGTTTTTTTTTGTTTTGTTTTGTTTTGTTTAAAACTGGGTGGTTTAAAATCAAAGCAGATAAGGAAGTCTGTCCTGAGTGGACTAGGGAGAAGGGAAGAGAACAGAAGAGGGCAAATTCTGTATGGTTCCAGTGCCCCTGCCACTGGATAAAATGCTGCACAGCACACAAGGGTCTCATGTATAACCAAAACCATTGTGCAAATAACTAGTCTCATTATTTTAAATTTTTATTGGGTATATTTTCCCTGCTCTGTAACTGAGCCCTGCCAAAGTGAGAGGATTTACCCAGGCAAAACACCAGCCCAAAGGATGATCTCACATTCCTAGCAGGGAGAGGATGGTCTTCGAGAGGGAAGCAGGGCCCTCCTACAGAAGGGAGCTGGCTGTAGCAGGCAGAGAGGGGCTCCGTGAGGCAGAAAAGACACGGCAGCACAGAAGATGACCCACAGATATAGCACTACTTTCTGCCAACCTGCAGGCAGCAAGATTTTTTGGCAATGAAGAGAGTTCTCTATCAGGAACCAACTCCCACCAGGCACAGAGATAGGGGCCTAAACCACTCAGCGAAAAACCCACAGAGCAGAATCAAACACAGAGAGAGCTCAAAACGGCCCCCTACCAAGGGAAACCAGATACTCAGATATGGCTGCAAAGAGCAAGGAGCAGTTCAGGAGACACCAAGCAAGAGGCTGAAAGAAGTTGTGAACAGCCTACGGATTATCGACGTCCTCGCGCAGCACGTTCAGTGTGTAATACACCTGGCCCTGGAAATAGTAGCCATGTAGGTATTCAGTGAGAGACTTCCTCCAGCTCACATACATCAGGTTACAGATAAACTGGTCCAAACTTTTCAACTGGGATGATGCAAGGAGACACACAAAGAGGGAGAGGAAAAACCATCATTTAGCAATACAAATCCAAAATTAATCAGCAGTGAAAAACTAAATGGCCCCACTCAACTTGCAACTGTCTGCAAAGGCCAGAAGGAAGGACCAATCCCTCCCTTTGAGCATTCAGCTCGATGAGTAACATTGCTGGCTAACAATGGACTCCAGCCCATATGGGGAACCCAGGCTTTAGAGCACATGCTGCAACTTAGGGAGGGCTCTCCTTTTTTACAAGATTCCTCTTGTGGACAGTGGTGGGCGGGGAGGGAGTCCCTGTCTTATCATAGGCCCTTCTTTGCTTTTCCTAGCTCTCTAGGAGCACATGCCTCTTACCGTGGAGTTGATTATGATGAATATCACCGCAATTGCAGTCAGGCTTTTGAACCCAGAGAAGTCCTTGCTCCCCAGGACCCCATAGTACTGACTGGGGATCAATCCCACCTGGTAAATGACCAACTGCTCTGGGAGGCAACAAGAAATACAGAGGAAAAATGAAGGGCTGAGGCGGCACAGTTGAGGAGGAGCACAAGAATATGAAAAGCCTGGTATTGTGTACACACACATTCCTCCCCACCTTCCCAGGCTAGCCCAACCCAGAGCAGCCATTCACTAACTCACCCAAGAGGGCAATGCTCAGCAGAGTCAGGAACATGAGCACATTCTGGGAGGACCATCTGGGAAACAAGATGGCCTGGATCCTCCCAAAGCGTTGCAGGAATAGCAGATCCAGCTGAGGCTGGGGCCTGCTGCAAGAGAAAGAACAGGAGAGTGAGGTTAGCAAAGGTGCACTATGAAGTAGTGTAATCTGCTTTTTACAGAGAAATAGCCATCTCTGCTCCACCCCACTCCACTACCTGCTTCCCTGGAATCAGACTTTATCAAACCTTCCTCCTACCACAATGGAAGTGCCTCACACCCCAGTGAAGGTTGCAGGAGAGGCTAGGGATTTGCCTCAGGGCCCTGTGAGTATAATGACCCTCAAAATAAAGAACTCTACATGCCAAGAGAATAAATTGTATAGCTGCCTCATGGAAGTCAGCCTGCTTAGTCCAAAGCCAGTCAGCCAAGATCAAGTGTGTTCATAAGAATTCCTTAGTCAGGGATTCCACAGTAGAGCATTTGTACTGGAGGGACCAAAGGAAAGCAGTCAATGTGGCTCCTCAAGCTGGAGAATACAAATCCTTTCCTATCCCTCCCATAGGCTGGCCCCTTCTCCTGCTTCATACACTAGGCAGAATCCAGGCCCAATGAATCAGGGAAGCTGCCGCTCCAGCATTCAAATCTACCTCCAACACATATACCCAGCAAGTCTGGCTATTCTACACCATGGAAAGATGCATCTAACTCGCCCTGCCAATCAAATATCCGAACTGGGAAAAAGAGATGATTCGGTCTAGGGAAGGGAAAAGCGGCCAACCTAACTGTTGAGTTGGATCCTCTAATTTAACCAAAAGCCGGAGTCACGTTCTCTTCATTGCTCCAACAATTCTCCCCTCTCTGGGTCACGCTCCCTTGGCTAGTTTCACATCTCCTTCTACATCACGTTCCCACCCTGGGCCCTCAGGCTTTGCTCAGCTTCTCCCTCAGCAACCATGTTTTTCTACCCAATGGACCCCACTCTATGCCCATGCTCTGCCAGCTCCCTTTCACTAGCTATCTAGGTACCTGTATGGCACAAAAAACAGTAGTATCCAAATCCATTCGGATCCTTACCATTTCCAGTCCACCACAGGCAGTTGTGTCAGCCCCACACTGCAATGGACTGGACCCTGGGATATTCCACACAAAATTTCCCTCTCCCCTTGCCTTTTCCTCCCTCTGCTTCTAGCTATAACCTTCATCAGCGTTCCCTCTAAGAAATTCCAACCATGAGCGGAGTGAGTTTTGACTTGTGCACAATATTAAGGTCATGTGTGCTGGTTGGGATGTGTGCCACTGTGACACCCAATTTATTAACACATACATGTTCCTGGCCACCAGAGCAGAAACCTCCCCTCCCTCACCATGCAGCATGTCCCATTCCCAGCTGCTGGAGCAGACACCCTCTCCCTCGTCTTTCGCCAGGTCACATTCCAGGCCCCAGAGCCAGAACAGGCCCAGCCCCCGGTCATGTGTGCTGGTTGGGATGTGTGCCACTGTGACACCCAATTTATTAACACATACATGTTCCTGGCCACCAGAGCAGAAACCTCCCCTCCCTCACCATGCAGCATGTCCCATTCCCAGCTGCTGGAGCAGACACCCTCTCCCTCGTCTTTCGCCAGGTCACATTCCAGGCCCCAGAGCCAGAACAGGCCCAGCCCCCGCCACATGCCCCATCACGTGGCTGTGGCAGGTTCTGGGCCCCCACCCCAGCAGCTCCCTCACCATGCTGTCTCAGCTGGCCCTGCCCATTGGAGCAGCTGCTTGTCCAGCAAGTGCTGCTGTATGGCTCTTCAGAGGAGGTGGCAGGGGAAGAATTTTTTTGTGCGCAGGCCTGTGCATCCCCAGGTTCCCTCTAGGCCAGGGTTTCTCAACCAGTGGTACGAGTACCCTTAGGCAGGGGCGGCCCGTGAGCATAGGCAGACTCAGCGGTCGCCTAGGGCATCGCCTTCAACGGAGCACCCGAGGCGCCCACTGATGATGTCAGTGCACCCCACCAGATCCCTATGCATCCCGCCAGCAAGCACGCCCCACACATCCACCATGTACCCTACCAACCAGAACCCCCCACCCACCCCTCCAGCCAGCCCCTCATACCCTGATGTGCTCTGCCAGCCTGTGCTCCCCCACACCTCCCATGCATCCTGCAAACTACCCCCATTGCATGTGCCCCCACACACCATGCAGCCCACCAGCCAGCCTGCACCCTCCCATACCTCATGCCCCCTCTCTCACCCCCCGTGACTCCCCAGCCAGCTCCCATCACACCTCATGCCCCCCTCCAGCCAGTGACCCCATATAATCCCACGCATCCTCCCAGCCAGCCCCCCATGCCCCCCCCTCATTTGCCCTGCCAGCCAACCCCCCAAACTCCATGCACCCCCCACACCCACCAGCAGCCAGCCGCACACACACACCATGTACCCCGCCAGCCAGCCTGCACCCTCCCCACCACACACACACCATGAGCCCTACACATACACACCCTGCGCAACCCACCAGCCAGCCTGCCCCCCATGCACTAGGGATGTAAAAATGTGATCAATTGGCTAATCAAATAGTCGACAAGGGCACCTCCGCCTCTGAAGTGTAGCAATAGCCCCAGGACTGTTGCTATACTTCAAAGGCAAAAGAGCTCAGGACTCAAGCTGTCCCCCGGCTAGCCCCATGCTCCCCACAGCATTTCAAAACAGTAGCATCTCATGAAGCCTGTGGTCAGTGCGGCTGACCCTGAGTCCTCAGCTGACCATGGGCTCCACACAGCGTGAAGCACCCCCTTCTATTCCTCCCCTTGTTCCTTCTTTCTGATAGAGGCAGCAAGGGAAGGAAAGCACCTATTCAACTAGCATGTTGACTATTCGATAAGCAAGCTTATCCGATAGTTGACTAGTGATTCACATCCCTCCCATGTGCACCACCAGCCAGTGCCCCCTTATGATTAGCTGACCATGGGCTCCACACAGCGTGAAGCACCCCCTTCTATTCCTCCCCTTGTTCCTTCTTTCTGATAGAGGCAGCAAGGGAAGGAAAGCACCTATTCAACTAGCATGTTGACTATTCGATAAGCAAGCTTATCCGATAGTTGACTAGTGATTCACATCCCTCCCATGTGCACCACCAGCCAGTGCCCCCTTATGATTCCAGGC